CACAAGAGATAAAGTGAATTGATGTATTATATTTAGGGCCAAATTAAAAGTCAAATGAGCTTTAATTTTATATTGAGAACTAGAGATAATATGTATTTATATATATAATGCAGTAGTGTATGATTGAGTCGAGTGGAAAAATCCTATTCCTTATAAATTAAATAACGATGGGATTTCAAACCTTGCAAATGAAAGCAAAATACATCGAAAAAGTTACTTTCAATTAAGTCCAACAATATTTAAATTTAACATATTATGCTTGTATTCAGTTTTATACTTATCTTCAGATGCATTGTATTCAGTTATGATGCTCTATATATATATTATTGAGAAATAAAAACACATAAAAATATGGCCGTTGCATTATAATAATATCCCAAAAGACCATATTAAATTATATTAACTTTTAGAACAATAATAATCATCTATCACACATATATAAAAAACTGTGATGGACCCCTTCACAATCATTATTCGCGATTGCTAAAATGATATAATGGTATCCCCCCGATCCCTATGAATCCAATAATTAATTAAAGATAAGAAAATAAACTACAATAATACAAATAACGGATGAATGAATATGATAATTAAAACTAGAGAGAAAAGTTAGTTAGGGCCCACTAGAGTGATTTATTATATTTCTGTGCTTATTCACTAGCTTGCTCAATTATTTGCTCAACCCAAAACCACAAATCCTATGTCCGTAAATGTGAAATGATAGATATAAGTGGACATGGTATAATCTATTTTGGGGAAGTCCTCAGAATGCTTTTTTTTGGAACCACATGGTACTGAAAATGACGTACTTGAACCTTCTCTTCATCATCATATATTAATATCGCGAGCAAGACAAAGTTGCCATCGCTTTTCACTTTGACAAGGAATACTATGAAAGTGACTGCCCTGTCTCCCAGCATGTCTTAATTAGATTCGAGCTTAATCACTATTTACTACACCTCCTTTCACTCGGATTCTAATTAATACGCCCATTTGTCGGATATATAGTTAACTATATATTATCTGAGGTTCATTTACTAGGGTCACACGATGTCACAATCAGTATATAGATTGATTTTTTTAGGAAAGAGAGTACTCATCAAACACAAACATAACTCCTTAATTAGTCAAATAAATGATTGAATATAATGTTGTTCTGGATCGATTACAATCACAGTCATCTGCATATATATATTTGGGATTCTGTTTATCCTTAAAACAGTGTCTGAAATATGTGTTGTTAGTCTGGCGGTCTTTATGGTGGAAGTTTCCACTCGTTTCATGGTCCAAATAGAAATATTTCACGCGCAAGTTGTTAAAAGCTTGTCATTATGCACACACACACACAGATATATTATTATTCTTCACTTGATTTGTCTTTTCCTGATTGGATCAGGCATCATCAGCACCAAATCTTTCGTATGGTAGAACTATAATTATTGGGCTTGAATTATTTTTAGACAGAACTATTTTTTTCCCCTTTACTTATTGTCCCTAACAGACAACCAGAAAAAGGTTTTGAAAAAAAAAAAAAACAACTCTCAAGGTTGTTTATGTTATAAAGTGGATGGAGCCGACGCGGAGAGACATAGTATTATATGGAGCCACAAAAAATAATGTTACGTTGTTGTGGTCAAAATGGACCCAACAACGTTGCCACGTTATATGCGTTTGATTTAATGCATTCAAACATGACGAGCTCGAACGCTAATGACAACTCGCCAGCTGCAGAAGTAGGATTAGGATAGAGAGAAAGTGAGAGAAAGAGATTTCATAGGCAAAGGACCTTAACTTAAAACCACTCGCAATGGAATGATGACCCCAGAATGAATCGACGACCCATACATAACTTATCCTTTTGATATTATCCAAACTCGCGTGTGAGTGTTGATTTTTCAAGGGTTTTAATTTGAGTGTCTGTCCATACTCGCGGAAATTTGCGCTTCTGTGCAAACGAGGGAGATTGTAATGGAGGTGGCTAGCTAGAACTTCTAGGGTGGTCCATTAAGGGGTCCTTCTGGTCCCAAACCCTAGTTTCTTAGGGTTGCACACGCTTGTGTGTGTGCTTGGGGCCAGAGCCATGTGAATTCCTCATGGGTTAGCCAAACCAATTAAGCTCCAATCTTTTTGAGTTGATTTTGATCTTTTGTTTTCATTTCATTTGGTTTATCCACTCAGAACAAACCCTAATTCCAACACATGACCTACAATAATGTGCGTTTCATCAAAACATCAGTTTCTTACGTTGCTGTTTTAAGTTGACAAGGCGGAGGACAAAAAGGCAGACGTTGAGTTATCGAATCTCTGCACTCTGCTTCTTACACACACACACACCACACCCACACTCACACACACAGACCCTATAACCCTAATCAAGCAAATTCAAATATCCCCATGATTATCTATGTATGGCGTCACAGGCTGCGTCTGTACAGTATAACGCAGTTTCTTTGGGCGGCACTTTTGGTGACAGTACAGTTTGGTCTTTTTTCTATGGTGGCAACCAAGATTAGTGTTACAAATTAATTACTACTCACTTCTTTTTCTTGTTGAAATCATTCTTCTGCTTCTCATTATTATTTTAATTCCTTAACTTATAATAGACTTTACTTTTTTGTCCATAATTTTTCGTTCCAATGTCCTGCTTTCCCGCTCCCCCCTCCTCTCTCTCTATGTACTCCTCCGATCCTATATTTTGCAGTATAATTTGGATTACAAAATAGGTCTTATATTTAAGACCGAGAGAGTATAATATTACTAGAATAAAATATATCTTGAATTTTGTCAAAATAAAAAAAAACCTTTAGAGTACTATAAATTTACTTCATAGTTGTTTTAAAGAATTAGTTTCGTAATGTCAGGTTTGATTCGATTTCTAAACTAGTAAATCAATTGGTTTTGATTTATTTCGGTTATACTAAAATATCTTATTTAAAATTCATCCTTATTTTTTAAAATAAAAATCGATGATAATCATACGGTCTCCAATTTCTTCTTTCAAGTTAATTAAATAAAAGAAATTAAAAAGTATTGATTTTCTTATAAAAAACGCATTGATTCATATTGGTATACGAAATTATACTGAAGTTTTAATATATTATTTGATATTTGGTTCTACCCTTTAGATATATATTTTTGTTAAAATATAGGTATTATTCTATTGAAAGCAATCTTATTCAAGATATTGTTGAGCGCAAAATATAAGCACCTATCCCAATGAGAATTTGAACTTTGATTCGCTACGTTATGAGTGACTAACTCCTTCTACTAAACCCAAACCCCATTAGTTACTTTTTAGATATTTATACTTACGTTTTTTTTTTATAATAAAAAGGATGGGCTCAGCCCAATTTCATTAAACTAAAGGCAGTTGGGGATTCAATCCCATACAATCAGCAAGCCACAAATCTCGTAAATGATTCGGGCAAACACTAAAAACAGTAGACGAAGTAAGCCCCTCCTTAGCCAAGGCATCAGCAAGAGTATTTTGTTGTCTGGGAACATAATTAATTCGTAGTTCCCAATCTGACTCTATTAGATCTATAATCTGCAAGAAAATCAGACTCCCATTAATTGTGCCTTCTCTGCTGAGCAACCTATCCACTAGAACCTTGGAGTCAGATTCAAGGATGACTTTGTCAAAGCCGAATTCTTTAGCCATTTCAAGTCCCTTAAACATGGCCCATTCCTCTGCTTCCAGCACATCACAATAACCAAGAGACTTAGTAAATCCTGCAATCCAGGCACCCCTGCAATCTCTAAGAACCCCCCCACATCCAGCCTTGATCCTTGATTTAGAAACAGCTCCATCTACATTCATTTTAACCCAACTCTGAGTAGGTGGGTTCCAAATCGCGTCAGAATCTTGGTGACTACACCTTGAACAGCACTATCATTAAATGTTGAAAAGGACTTCCAGTTTCTAAGGACAAAGGCCGCAGGGTTAAGAGGTTTATCATAGTCTTCTTTGAAGCAGTGATTATTCCTCCATATCCATAGGTGCCAAACCGAAATAGCCCATATAATACTCCAAGATCCATTCTGCTTCAAACCCAGCTCTCTATGTATACTTACGTTAGAAAGACTAAAAGAGAGTTAGTGTACCTGGGCCTATGCCTCACATGCCTCACACCAGAATAAGTGTGGTTAAAGAGATTTTTTTTTTTTTAAAAAAATAGAACATGCAAAACGAATCCCATTGATTGGGAAAGATCAATTTATTTTGAGATTATGAAAATCGAACCAAAATTTGTTTTTAATTAGCTTTGTTCATGTTTTGGTTCAATTTTAGCAAGATCAGTTGGTTTTATTTTGCTTGGACCACCTTAATATATGACACAAATAATGTAACCGTCGCAAGAAATTCGGACTTTCTTGCATATAAAACGCGGCCGAACAACCTGCAGTACAGTGAGAACCCAAAGTCGATGTCACATTCCAAATTGTAAAAATAAGCAAACAACAATAATAATACACCGAAATAATGATGATTGATAACGGAAAATACGCACAGAGCTCAATGCCTGACTTTGACCCAAAAGAAAAAGGATATGGAATATAGCACCTAGGAAAAACTTCATTTTTGCAACATTCATTCTACTAAAGACCTTTTTGGCATAGCATTTAAAATGACTTATAAACACGTTCCATATAAGTCGGGACAAAACTCTTTTTATATACTCAGTATCCCAAACCGGCACTGAAAATGCTTTCGTAAGTGATCCCACGTTTTTGATATCTTGGGCATGCGTAAGCGAAGTAAAAGAAAGCCAATGATCAGAATCAGATGAAACTGACTGAAAACAAATGGATTAGCAAAAGTACAGTCAGAGTCCAGCATGTAAACAAACTATCAATTACGATGTATCAATCTCTGTTCTTTGCCTCTTTACACAGCAAAAATTTGAGTGGAAAGTGAGCTTGAACTTCCCCACCCACCCAAACAAAATTATAACTATTTTTCTGACCACAACAGTACAAAACCCAAAAAAGAAAAAGGAGAAATAAAGAAGGCCAGCTTTTCACTCGTCCTAAAATTATCCCTGCCCCTCTTTAACAACAAAAGATTTTACAATTGAATGCCAACAAAAGAATGAAAAAATAACTTTACAGAAGGGGCAAGATGCTGAGATTCAATCCAATAGATAGAAAAAGAATAAAATATAAAAGGATTTACAACCACCATAGCAAGGCCTATGGATTCTCAAGGGATGTGATTTCATTGCCCCCAAGATAAACCAACATAAAAGCTTACTAAACTTCCTATTAGGCCTACTCATTTAAAAATTGGAAGGCTGGATTCTCAAGAAGTTCATCTGCTGCTTTCATGTCTGAGAATTCCTTGGATTGCAGCGATGTAGCAAGGTCATCCACGGAGAAGGGAATACTGTAGAAGAGGCCAGAGTTAATAAACTTATAACCAATTTGCAGGTTAACTAGTTTTGGCATACATGACACAATAAATTGCGTATCAAAATTTCTCCACCCTATAGAATGGAGAGAAAGTTTTCACTAATCTGTAGTTCTCAAGCTCAAAACGCATGTGATGTTATTGCATCTCTTCAAGTTAATTTGCATCTAAAAGCACTCTCACCTGGAATTATCATCCAGCAAGAAAGAATCAGTTTGAGCATTATTGGAGTCCTCGGCCATAAGCACTCTCATGCTTGAAAGGACCTGGTGGGACATTGAAAGCGTGTTAAATTTAGTCATGCATTCACAAATTAAAGGACGTCTTTTGCCGCATATTAGCCTATAATAAAAAAGTTCTTACGTCTGGGGATACACTTCGAGTATTATAATTAGCATCCCAGTAAAGAGTACATATTCTATACAGCTGCTGGACGCTCAGGATCTGGTGTCAGGAAAAAAAAGAGAGAGAGAGAGGAAAGGGATGGGGAAGTCAGAATCGAAGTCAGGAAGACCCATCCGAAAGGAGCAAGAACAAGAGCGTAGAGATATGCTTCATGAACATGCAAAGGACATGCGCATTATTAGAGTCTGGGATGGAAAGACTTACAGGGCACAAATCATTGGTAATTTCATCATAGGAAATCCTGTACTTTTGATGAATGACCTGTATATAAAAATGACATCAGTTAAACCAAATAGAAGTAACAAAGACATATAAGGAAAGCGATCACTTCATGTCAAGGAAATATTTCTCGAGAAGGAAAACATCTATGTTTTCTCGTTCAATCAAGACACTTGCCATCGTATTCATTCTAGGTGAAACCACCTCATTATCACCTAAGTTGGAGGCTCAACAATTTCACCACAAAGGATTATCTTATTTTTGCCTCTTCAATTAGCATTCATACCGCAGTGGTTCATAAATTAATTAGGTTAGATCAATTAAGACACTTGTCATCGTATTCATTCTATGTGAAACCACCTCATTATCACCTAAGTTGGAGGCTCAACAATTTTACCACAAAGGATTATCTTATTTTTGCCTCTTCAAATTAGCATTCATACCGCTGTAGTTCATAAATTAATTAGGTTAGATCACTGCTGCCCAGTAAATATGCTTGACCTTTGCCTTCCTAACACCTGTCTCATAGCTGTCCTTGCTTATAATAATTTGGGCATCTTAAAATTTAAAACTGATCAGCAAGTCTCATAAATTTGTTCAAGCATGATATTCTTCTAGAATCAAAGAAAAGATGCATACTCTCATTGTAAAGGACAAACAGTAAAGCTAATTCTCCATGAGTAAGAAATCTCCCTTAATTAATATACTTCATGATGCAGAGTATAAGTATATGCCTTTCATCTTTTACTTTGACTATATTGTTATCCTATCACAAAAATCACTTCCAAAATTCTTATTATGAACAAGATTCAGAGCAGATCAACCTTTTGACTATCAATACAAAGAAATGATAACTAGAACAAAGTAAACGTTGATGAGAAACTGTCATATCATAAAACAAGACACACTTACCAAGAACCCGACTGCCTGTCTTATGTGCTTCAGCTCATCCCAAGATAATCCAGCATACTGCGAGGCAATTACTTGTAAATAAGAACCATCATGAAGATCCGTAAACCAGTCCAAAAGCAACACAACCACTATAGGGCATCACATCACTTTGTAATAGCTAAGGGCCCAGCTAAACAGTATTAAGCAAGGCCCTATAGTATAAGCAAGTAGCAAAGAATAGTATTGCGCAAGCTATTCATTGTACAGGTCTTCATACTATCATGTGTTTATTGCATCAACATATAACACATCGAATTGCAAAACAAGTGTAGATGAATAGCACAAGTCTAGTAAGCACAAAATTCAACTATAGGGCAAAAATACCCACGATGCCACCAGTGGTTTGGGGCAAAATTAGTGAAAATGCAAGGGAGAGGTGGTAGTAGTGCTGGCGGCAATTGTGACAGTGGTTTGCTTGTGAGAATGGTGTTTGCAGCTGCAACAGCAGCGGAGGAGGAAAAAATGATGATGAAAGCAAAGAAGGCATGCAACAATGAAAGGTGGTGATTCTGGCAAGAGAGTATATTGATATATTAAAAAATGAGAACAAAAATTATTTATTTTCATATATTGAAAACTTTTACAGAGTTCCTCATCAGGGCTTGGGGCATAACGAGTGAACAAATCTGAGGAACTAATTTGATCATGGTAGATGTGAAAAAATCAATTACCTCCTCCTTTGCTTGGCAGCACCATAGTTCCAATTCTGCCAATCCAGCTTTTACATATTCCCCATTGCTGAATGTGCAACAGTCACGGCGTAGTAGAAGACTGGTAATGAGAACATTTACATATAGTTAATTTCTAAGCCTCTTAAAATAAAAGCATAATGATGCAAACATTTATGTTAAAAGATGCATGTAAGAAACAGTTACCTATTGAAGAGTTGTACATTAATATATGAGAATGTTTGAGTAAAGACCTTTTGGATGAGAACAGGAGGTACCTGAAACTCAAAAGTGTACATCATGTTATTAAATTAAAAGCAGCAAATAGCATAAACAGAACAGGGGTGATAACTACTTAAATTCATAATTTAACAAGTTAAAATTAGTTTTCTTACGAAATTCTCCTTCAGTGTACAGAGGAGGGTGTTGAGGGATTCAATAATACTCTGCCAGTGACCCATAGGCGAGTCTTTACCAAATGATCGCCCAGACCGTAACACTCCCTTTGATGCTCTAGGTGCCTGTATATCATGATAAATTTCAGTATGTTAGCCATTGGATATTCAGAAGTTTCTAGAAATATCACCAAAAGGCAGGGAATATAGCTGTATTGGAATAAAAATGAGCTTATATGGATAAAAATACAATGTAAACAACTTTGTCTATCATTTAATGATTGGTTTAAAGCCAACTAAGTTAAACAATTGTTAACTGGATTTCAACACACCTGGATACATAATGAAAGGAATGGATTTAACTCCTTCTTCAAGTTGTCTCGAATGATACCATATATTTTCTCCACATATGCTGTGAGCTGCTGCTTAAAAAGTAAAGCAGGGTACTTAGCCTCTACTTTGCGGACGATGTCCAATGGAGGGACAGCAAGGCTGGCAGATGAAGGGGATGAGCGAAAACCCTGCAGTTTACCCATATATAAGCCAAATTTTATATAGAAATTAGATTAAACAAAATGTAAGGAAGATTTGTTACCATAGCCATTCTTCCAAAAAGGGATGTTGGATTTGGTGGTTTTTTAACTGGAGTTGCATCACTTGTACCACCAGATTTCAAACTTTCTTGGAGCAAAAACAATAATGTGGACGTATTTGTCAGCCAGTAAGCCATGAGATCATTGTCATCTTGATTCTGGAGTGTAATAGAGAGTAGAAGCGAAGAAAGACACAAACTAGATTTAGATAAGTGCTTCGATACCAGAAACAGGACCATGATAAAAATGTAGAATATCACAAGAGAATCAGGACAAAGTAATTCAACAAGCAAAGGAACCAAATGAGAGATTCATTGTTCTGTACATGAGCATACAAATGAGTAAAAAAACCTTTAAAGAAAAGTGGCTGGAGGAACAATAAGAATAATTAAAGCACTATGCCAGCAACAGCAATAAGCAAGCATTCTGGCATGCACGCATGTTATTTTTTAGGGGTTTGATCCAGATACTCGGCCCAAATCCCAGATGTAAATATGCATGTACACATGGGGAGATTTATGCACACCGGATAGAGAGAGGGGAGATTCAATTACACCTTTAACTGAAAGCAATGAACTGATTCACTAATTACAACAAACAAAAACAATTCATTATTCCATCGGGTAACAATCCTTCACCATGATCATTCTATCCACTGTCACTGTTATCTGCAGCTAACATCACATTACCTACAAAGCATTACAACTAGGCTCATAGATGTATATAAAGCACAACGTACAGTTTGGCTTAAGTTGCAAAACATCGTAGAATTTTTCATATCACCTCAACATTCTGATTTGCACATTTCAATATCTGATATTCAACCAAGCACTTCCATTTTATTGTTGTTTCTCATAAAATATAATTCAGAATAAAGTAATTCAGTCACCTCAATTGCAGAACCAATCATCTGGATGAGGCGATCAAATACACTTGTCCTCTCAGCTTCAAATGATTTCCAGTGAAGAAGGCATTTGTAAATGGTAAATGCAGCAACAGGCTTCCCATGAATAAATCCAATATTTTTTTTAACACAGTTGATTAGTGCTTCAACATTCTCCTACAAAAGAAAAGGAGCAGTAAGTTATAAAATAGTTTTCTTTTCTGAAAAATAATGTAAACAATGAGAAGACTTCCTTAAAACGCTCACATGCTGACGTTCAATGTATGATCTCCTTAATTTGATATCAGATTCTGTACCAAACTTTTTAACTGGTGTTGCAAGAGTCTGTGCTTCCTGCAGAGACAACTAATTTTAGATAGCTCCCAGCAGAAAACAGAATATAAAAAGAAATTCTAATTTTTTTGAAAAGAAAAAGGATAGAAATAGTATCAAACAAAGTACTCACAACAGCCTTTTGCTCTTCCATCACATGGTGACCATTTTCCAACTTCTATAGATGGAGAAACCAACATCATCAGATGCACACGCAAAGCCAGGTGTAATCAAGAAGATACAAGGCAGGAAGCAGAAGTTACCTCATCTGAAGGGGTTGTTGAGAGGTGCTCTGACATTTTCTTTACATTCGAGTTCAGCAAAGATTGTTGCCGAAGAATCTGATTTTCAGACTCAACATCGAAAAATTTTTCTTCAAGCCTATCAATGTGAAAAGAAAAAATGAAAAGCAATCTCAATGACGGAGATTCCAGAACTAAAAAAAGAGTATGGAACATATAAATTGAATATATATATTATACGAGATCAAAACAGCTTAATCACAAAGAAACCTTTGCATAGCGGTCTTCAACTGAATTATCTTTGACTCCGCCTCCAAGGCTTGCTTCGTTCGTTCTTCACTAATCTTGTTTGCCTCTTCAAACCTTTTTTCCGTTTCATCAATTTTCTTTTCAAGTGAACTCACCAAGGTCTGCAACAGACTCCAGAAGGCATCATATTAATTAGTAAAAAGCAACGGCCAGCTACCTTTCCCTGAGTTATGGGATTATTCTTTGAGATGTATCAGTACCCCAAAAAACTGTTTCTTTTAACATAGTGCAGATATATATGTGCCCAAAAGCACCTCACCTTGAGTTTCTCATTCTCACTAGTGAGCCTCTCTAGCAATGCATTATCAACAACTGGAACCTCCTGTATCACAGGAGCTCTCTCTGCTTCCATTTTTGTAGCCTCACGCTCCTTTTCAAGCAGTACTTTAGTCTCTTTAAACTGAAGTTGCATCTCTTGCAAAGCAGATTGTAATCGTTCATTTTCTTGTGTTTTAGCTTCTTCCATGTCAACCTACAGTTGTTTAAAACAATGAACAAAACAGTATTAGGAAGTCTTGCAAGCAACACACGTCGTCACTTTCTGACATTTTTTTAACAGAACACTGACAAATCTCTCTCCCAACAATCACAAAAATGAAGCTTATTCCGCCAACAAAATTTTCTGATCCACTGTCAATTTATAAAGCAAACGAATCATACTACCACACTACTCTATAGAAACCAAATAACTAAATAATATTTGTCACGCATGATGCTGTAAGACTGCTACACTAAAAACAATCTCATGAGCAAATTCACAATCATTTACCCTCAATCGTTTCTCCAACTGCAACCTCAATGAAAGATCTTCAACTTGCTTTTCGAGCTTATTTTTAGCAGCTTGTAGAGCTCCAGTTTCCCTCGCAGCCTGCAATAAAAACCAAAATACAAAAATACTAAGTCCGAAGTACTGCAAGATAAGTGGGATTGAACATAGAAGTGAATAGCTAGCAATCATAATCATAAACATATAATATAGTGATACCCCGACCAAGAAGCATGCTTGACAATATTATAATTAGGTAGCATCACCTTCTAGAGGCATCATTTTTAAAAGTTGGAGCAGAGGAGAAAAATATATCACGGTGGATGAAGATAATCGCAGAGATGGAATATGTTATCTGAGTATCACGGTGGATGAAGATAATCGCAGAGATGGAATATGTTATCTGAGGACCCAAAAGCACAATGGTGTAAGTATAGATGGCTCTGATTGAGGATTAAAGAGAGAAAACACATTTAGGAAGGGGCCAGAAAGATCTCTGGCTCGAAGAGTATGAGAGCCAGAGTTGTTCATAATGCTGATGCTAGTGGTAGCTAATGGTTTCAAATGCCACCTACTAAAGCCGAGTTTAATGCTCTTAAATGTGCATACCTTCTTTGACAGTGCCCAGAGGGGGGACAAAAGTTGCCTGAAGTAATCATATGCGACTCGAATATTGCAAGATAAAAATGGCTTATAACCATAACCCCAATGTCATGCACTTTGTCACTCATTAAATTCCATCCCCACTTTAAACTACTATTTTGGACCTATCAATTTTATTTATAAATTCACCAAAGTACCTCATTCATTAAATTGAAATTAAAAGGACAAGGACAACAAAGAGTGGTTACCATCTTGAGCTTTCGCAATTCACGCCGAGCAACTCTTCCTCTCCATGCACACTGTGTTCTAATTGCCGCTTTCTTTAAGTCCATAAAATGATGCTGTGCCAAGTATTTCCGGCAATGGCTCTGCAATACACAATGAGATTGGTGTTGCAAGGATTCCACATAATACCCATAAACGTTTATGCCATCCTAAGCAAAACTAATTCTTATACAATATGTATTAATCACTTTCCGCACAAACTATTATACATGTAGATATGTATATGACAGATTGAAATGATGTATGCGCATAAACATCTCGTAGAGATGGCTTTTTTAAGCATATCCCCTACCTGTATAACAATTGCTGCTCTGGTCTCCCTCCTAAAGCGTAGTTCAGAACGTGCAACCATCCCCCGCATACCAGTCTGAATAGAAATGGCAGATGCATACAATTCTTTGTATGCGTTCCTAGCAATATGCATGCGGAAATTCTTCTGAATTTTCACACTAGAAGCCTCCTGCCGCATTCCCTCATAAACATGCCGAGCAAGTTGTCCTACAATCAGTATTGAAAACTTGTGAGACTTCACAAGCCCTAAGCTGTCAAATAATATTTTAAAAAACTTAAGCAGCAACCTCTGCATGAAGCTTGAATCTGTATAGCAGACAAGCGAAGCAAGACAAAACTTCGGCGTGCCAAAAAGGAACGAACTTTCCTCTGAATAATGCTTGCTGACTTTCCCAAAATCTCACTCCTACGGGTATCAAGTTCTGCCATTTGCCCAGCTCGAAGAAACACCTTTGTTTTACCAATCTGTAGCAATATAGAGAATCATTGAAATAATGCACCAAAAGTAGTTATTTCTGTTAAATAACAAAACAGCGACAGTAACCAAGTGTAAATGGACATGCTCAACCATTAGAATTCACTGCACACTAGATGAACGCACAGGAAAGAGCTTATTCTTAAATTTAACTTATATTTTCAAGTTTCCATCCCAAATATATGCAGAAATGGTAGAAAAGCACTTATGGGAGGTATACTCCACAATATGGCACTAATAGTTACCTGGTAGCCTTGAAGTCCAGCCTTCTCTAGAATCCTCTTGCAAACAGTGATCTCATCAGGACTAATATAATTAAAACATGAAATAAGTGAGGGATGATGGGAAAAACACTAGCTTTCTCGAAAAGAAAGATGACCATCTTCATACCTTCCATCCAGAGCTTCAGGTGCAAGAAGGCCAAATCTGTCTGCAAATTCATCAAAGGTTTTTCTAGTAGGATATCCAGCACAGCTGATCCTTATTGCCTCCATAACTCCCTACAATCAAACATAAGCATAAACTAACACAACCAAACAGCAAACTTAATTCACAGGACCAATTACACATATTTGAACCAGCACATGAATCGTAGCTGTCTTACCCCACAGCGCAGTTGCTGCAAAACATTTTTATGCTCAAAAATTGATGGCTTAAGCAAATTATTGGGTTTTACACACCGAATGTAGTGTGGCTCCGTGGCACTGAGAGTTTCAAGTAGCGATTGCAATTGTTGCTGCACACACATGACAGAGGATTTTCCATGACCAAAAAAAGCAAGATACCCAGATTATTTTGCATTCAAAGTAAAAGAAAAACACTAACCTTAAATCGAGAACCTATAGAAGAGAACTTCGATTGTTTGGATGATTCTTCAGGGGCAGGGGGAAACAAGCCCGATACAAACGGGCATTTGGAAGCATTAAGAAGTGCCTGATGTTCCGCAACAACATAATCTTTGTTCTTGTCCAGGAACAAGTCAGTTTGATAAGTAACCTGAAATTGCCAATGATTAGATGTGATTTTCCAAAGCAGAAAAAAGTCACACCTAACTTTCTGGACCTATATTCTACAAATGGAACATCCTTTAAATCATCAATCAATCAATTTTAAAAAATCTACAGTAAAATGTACTATTCATAAGCCATGAATGTGACTCGCTTCCTAATTCCTACTTTGGGCAATGCAAAAGCAATATGTCTAGTAAGTCTGAAAAAGTAATGACAATCCCAACTTACATCACCAGCATAATGCAATATTGTGAAGTCACTGCGTGATAATTTGGGCTTGCTGAACCTTTTATGGTTTTTGAATGTCTGGTACAGTTTTTGAGCAAAAGTTTCATGTGTTGATCTAGGAAACATACTGCAAAACACACACAACTGTTTGAGCACAGACAAAAGTAGTTAAAAAACGCAAATGAAGTAAAATTATAAGAGCTAAGCTACAGGTCCTGAGATATTAAGACACAGACGGGTCATTCCAATTCAAAGGTACTAGTAGTTACCAAGCTTCATCGAGAAGAGCAATAATACCTCCAGGTTTCTGGAAAAAAATCACAAAATGTTATTTTTAAGGTAGAGAGGGACAAGCAATACATCCATATGCACATAAATTGCAAAAGCTAGTCATGCCTCAATTTCTTTTCATTGATTTTTCTTTTTCAAGCTGTTATCAGAACCTAGATCATCAATAGTCAAAAGCCCAAATGAAACACATTTCTAAGTTACTTTGTGAAAACATTTTCCTCATCTTCATTTTGTTATATCATTATCATTCCCAAGAAGCAATTACCACAAATGGAACTAACGCCATGTTATCAAAGTTCACCATGCCTCAAACTAGACCATGACAAATTTATAAGCCCTCACAAGCACATTTAATGCCTAATATTTGACCCGAAATGAGCATATTACACAAAATATGACCCAAGAGACAACACCGACCAACAGAAAGTTGTTGGGTCAGAAGGAACACCTTTTCAATGAGATCCAGAATATCTTGATTGTCAACAAATTCAATGTAACTCCAATCAATCTCCTCTTTTTTGTATTCTTCTTGCTCCATTTTGAAAACATGCTGCAAAGCAAGATGTTTGAGTGTTAAAAGAGCACATGTTAACTCAAAATTTAATTGTGTGTTTCTACGTGTTAAATGTAAAAAAAGACTGATAAGATGCAAGCAATTCTAAAGAAAACAAGTCTTTCTATCATTGTCCAACCTGATTAAAATGTTGCTGAAGCTTTTCATTTGTCAAATTAATACAAAATTGCTCGAAACTGCAAAGCACACAAAATAACCAGATATTACATAAAAGCCAGAACTATTCAGGGGCACAGGAAATAATATGGAGAAAACAGCCCCATCATTCCCGACTACTGCTTAAATTCAGTATACTTGCCTAGACCACCAAGAAAGGAAGAGTCTAAAATTAATAGGCAATTATCCAGAACCCTCCCAGATTCTTGCAATCACAGAATGGTGATGGTTTGGTATCTTCTTGACCTCATTTTATGATTAACGTCACACCAAGAAAAATAACATTAATATCATGTCTTTGTGGGATTTTACTTGCGAGACAGAACCATTTGATATTATTATACTCCCAGGAACATGCGAGACAATAAAGTTTTAACTCATACCAAAATCACATGCAATTTACATAATAAAACAAATTCTTGAGTGGCGATCTATAAACTACTCAACCAAATCATAATTTCTTGACTGCATAAGCTTTGATGTAATTGTAAATTAATGAGGCCCAACATTGTCCAAGGACGAATCCCCAGTTATATTTGGATGCAGATGCTCCTAGTCCCAAAATTACGGAAACAGGAGAATTCCATAAAGCTGACAGCTACTTGTGCTCAACAAATCTGTAACATACTTTGGTTTCACTGGCTGACCTATGACTAACATAAAAAGGCATACCACAAAGCACCTGTTATTTGTGAAACTCTCAAAACCATAAATATCCAGCACGCCAATCAGGGACTTTGAATCAGGATCTTGACCAATTGAACTATTAATTTTTTCCACCAGCCTGAAAAACCCCAACAGAAAAATAATTACAGAAACAGCAGTTTACGCTTGATGAAAATGGGCCAAAATAACCTAAACCGTTATATAGTTTCTTTTTGGTCAAAAACTGGTTATATAGATTCAAACCAATATATTTTTGGGTAATTTGCTCACATGCTTACCAATCAAACAGCCTAGAGTACACAATTTTAGCCAAAGCATCTCGGCTGAGTGCAGCAGCTTCCGGATCCAAACATTTTATGATTGTCTCATCACGAGTAACAATCACACGCTTGCAAAGAGAATCTTCAAGTGCCTTTGCATCACACCTGAAGAATAATTACGGACTAGGGATTAAACATGGAGAGAAAATGAAATGCAAAACGTGTAAAGAATGAATCATTCAAACATCACAAACAAGCCAGGTTGCTTACATGAAAAGCTCAGCAGCAGTCTGCAGATGGAACCTAGATTTTTCATCCTTGGGCATAGATGAGTCTATTTCCTTCCCTTTGGCAAATTCAATGTTTCCAAGATGCAAAATTGCAGCCACCACACGAAATATTGCATCCTGAAGAATTACAGGCAAAAATGGAAGAGCATGTTAAGGAGCACACATCAATCTTAGTGAAATTCATCATGAATATGCGAAACAATCCACCAATACCTGCTCCTCAGAACTTATTCCAACAACATCCATTGCTCTCCTGGTGGAAACATATTCTTTAGCTTCATCAAGCCCTTCTATCTCAAAGCAATTTGATTGATTTAGATAATGAAATGTTGCTGGCTTTCCCAACTTGTACTTCTTAACATCCTGTGAGAAAAAGAAAATAAACAGAAAAGACAATGAAAAGGAGTAAATGACATTCTTGAGCAAAGTTGGTATAACAACCCACCGTAAGACCCATCATTCTCAAGTGACACACAAAGAATCAGACTATCATTATGGTACAATTCAATAAAGGTTAATGAAAATTAAACTATGAGGATTCTACAGATGAGCCTTTGAATATGTGATTTAAGCAGTGTTTGGATTAGCTTTTTAGAAGTGATTTTACCATGCGAGAAAAGTTTTGTCTCGGCTTAAGTGAAAGTATTTTTTTAAGTGATCGCAGGGGGTTGCCAAACTCCCCCTTAGGAGAAAACAGGATCAATGATATCCCAGCAAGCTAAAGTTTCATTACTCAATCTTGATCTTCTATCAGTGGCATGAATAACGTAAATAATCACATCATGTACTATCATCATAGAGCAAACACACCTTATAACAAGCTGTTTATACTTAAAAACCTACAATCTACAACAATAGTCAAAAGAAAAGAATCATTTATCTTTTTCACCAAAACTAAGTCTGAGTTCATATTAATATTCCCTATGGTAGGGTTCCTCAAATTTAACGAACCAATCAAGAAAAAAATTACAGCAAATAAAAAAAAAAAATCTCCGCATGTGTAATTGATGATTTGATTCCTTCATTTTTTTTTCCCTGTCAATATAATCATAATTACCTCGGGAGGTGCCGCACATAGCATGTAGAAACAGTGATAATTCCTCTCTGGATTTGACACCTGGCAAACACGTGATCTTTCCAGAAGATAAGTTCTTATTGCAGCTCCTGAAATTCTCCCCATCTGATCAAACTGAATCTCCACAAATTTACCAAAGCGACTGCCAAAAAAAGGGTAAAAATATAACACAAATAAAAACATAATATGCCATAAAACTTGCTATACTTTACAAAAGCAGAAAAATTTGTTATATTTTCCCACCTTGAATTATTGTTCCTAACAGTCTTTGCATTGCCGAAGGCTTCTAAAACTGGATTAGACTGCAATGAACATGGCATAAAGAGAGAGAGAGCAAAATTAAGTGAATATAAATTTAAGGCTGCACAAAACTGGATCCTGGAAAAGGTTACAAAAGCAAACAAATAAATGTATGCTGGTCAAGTTAGCATGCTGAAAATAATACTGAATAAGTTCACTTTTCTTACCTCCAAGACTTTCTGCTCAACAGTCCTACCTTCAGCAGCTGCTCGTCCTCCCATGTAAGCAAGATAACGCATTAGTAATTTGGTACTCTCTGTTTTACCAGCCCCACTTTCACCACTGACCAATATTGATTGGCTGATTCCCTCATTAACCATAAGCCTGTATCCAGAATTATTATTAAGCAGCCATGCTTGAAATTTAGTTACATGTGCTATTCAAAGGACAAAGTTTACCTATATGCAGCATCAGCAACAGCAAATGGATGTGGACTCAACTCACCAAAAGCTGCCCCTTTATATTGTGCCATCATATGGCTATCATATAGATGAGGAAGCTTTGTAAAAGGGTTCACAGCAATCAATATATTTCCAGTGTAAGTCTGTAAGCACAATTGAGGTATTAGCACAGGTCAAGAAAATACAAATACATAAAATTCCTACAAAAAGCAAAAAAAAAAAATATTAAGCCACATTTCCCCACTTAAGGAGGACAATAAATGGAAAGTCGGCGTCTGAGATGCATACATAAATTTCATTGATATCATATCTCATTCTCAGGTTGTCCAGGACTCCAGGTTCATGTAGGTAAGCAAGCTTTGTCATATCATCCACACCACATGGCGGCACCTCAGTATCTTTAGGATAAATACTGGAAGCTTTAACAACCACCTGCATATTTCAAGACAAAAAGAGGGGTAAAATTACATCATTAAAGCATCGAATAGTTCTACACAAGAAAAGGATACTCACTGTCTTCCCTGAAGTGCAGAGGACTTTGATTTCTTCTCCATTAGCCTCCAAAACCTCACCATCAATCCAAGACACTTCAGGATCCTCTACCCAAACATGGGACCCGACAACAGGATTGACAGCAGCAACCTACAAAGCAAAATGTGGCAACAGAATCATACATCCATGTTCCCTCTGTTATTGTATAATGCATATTAAATCCCTAAGCAGCAACAATGCATATATGCACATCAGAAAAGGATGATATTCGATAAAACTTCATTGCTTTTGACCCAACAAAATGTGGCATTTGTCATAGATAAACACAACCAAAATTAAATCAGTTGCAAGCAGCAATTCCTGTAACTTACCTCAAATTAAGGGTGCAAACAAGAGTCATTATACTCATATCATTGAAAGCATCAATAGACATCCCACAACCATAAAAAAGTGCAACTCTATATCAGAATATGTGTTGGGAGTTCCAGTTAGTCCATCTTTACTTGTCTGGTTATAATATGTTTCCTAAACTGCGCCATTTTAAAATATTATTTTCAAGCCACTCAAGCAACTCATTTTGAAAGCTGGTTGCAACAAGAACAATTGGAGAACATGTAACAGTGTCTAGTACAGGAATCAGTCCTGATATATAACTAAATTTAAAGGAGAAAATAAGTGAACCAGGTGCGAAGGAAAATTGCTAATTGCTAGACTGCGTCAGAAGGTTATAATTCATATGAAACAAGTCAGATTAGAAAGAAATGGTATTGAAAGGAACACAAACATCAAGGATAAATAAAAACGATGTATACATGGTTTCCTAATACAAGCACATTTTAACCCTCAAGTGTGTATGTTAAGCCTCGAGGAATAAGGTCTGTCCTCTTAACTAACAGGTCCAACTGGTAAAAAAAGCGTGCAAGAATTCACTATAATATTGAAACCCGTTCAGAAACCGAAGTATGCTCTCAACTCTTGAGTCATTGAAAATCTATCAGAAATAGCAAGTGACGCACCAAGAAGACTGCAACAAATTAAATCTTTACTCCTATGAGGCAACCTTCGGTAGAATCCACATAAGAATGGACACTACTCAAGACAAATTCAGCTTTAAATGAATTAAAATTCAGGTAAAACCAGCAAAATTAATAGGGGATTGTTCCCAGACTAAGATCAAGCAGCCAGAATTCGGTGCTTCCTGGTTCTCCAGAGAGCAATGGGGAGAAGAAAAACATTGTCCCAAGAATAGGTCTCGCAAAGTATTTTTTGCCAAATAAAAATAGTCAAATCAATAAAAAGCCATTTAGAACAAGACCAAAATTCATTAGATAAACCAGTTCGAAGAAAGTTAGAGATCCAACTCCCGCTCAAGGCAATAGCAGCCCAATTAAGTGATACAGAAGCTTCGGAGGCCCTTATCCACAAATCCATTTGAACAAAAGTGGCTTCTCCGGCCACTAAGAAAACGCAAGACTTCGAATTGACTCGATAGTGACCGTAAAAAACCCAGATAAATGACTAAAGAATACCATTTTGTGGGAGATTGATCGGATCAAAAACTAAGGCAGCTGCCGGATCTACTTCCAATCCCTCCAACAGATGCGCTACTCAGCTCGAAATAAAGATGTCTGCACTTCCCTCCTCGTTCAATAGCAGAACAGCAACCTCGATATGTGCTTCGAAACAATGGCGGAACAAAAAAAAAAAAACTATATATGAACTGGATGTACACTGACGAAAAAAAATGAGAAGCTTAACCCCTTCAACAAGACCAAAACTTTTGAAGAAGAGAATAAGCCCTCGTCTGCTATAGCAGCAGACCTCGCTCGTATATGTTTCCCCTTTTTTTTTTTTATCGTGTTCTTGTCCTGTGTCTGCTCTGCTATTTTCTGCAGATTTCTTCTTTGCTTCTCCCCATCATGTGTCTTCGTGACGAAGTTTATTTGGTTAATGAAAATAATAGGACGTTGAAATTAGCTGCAAAATTAAGGTAAACAAAACGAAGCCTTTTGAGCATGAAATCCCCAATCTGCCCTTCAACGGGGGCTTGAATTACGGGAGGGAATTGTGCCACCTCGGACGAGGTCAAAGAGAGAGTGAGAGACGCAACGGTAAAGATGTAAATATCCCACCAAGAAAATGCCAATAAAAAAAATAAATAAAAAAAGCGAACACGCTCATGTCATAGTTGGCGCTTATTGCCTGGTAATTGGTACCCAGGGTGTCCAAACTTCGTTGACTGTACGCTTCACACTCATTACTTGTGACCAAACCACATAAATTAAATTGCCAATCAAGTAATTACTTTCCTTAACTGGATCGATTTCTTTATTAGACAAATGTAGCTTCTCGCTCCCACCAACGGCTCGGGAATTAAATGCAGGTTTTTGGGTTATCAATTCTGTTTTTGACAAGTGATGATTTGAAGATTTGATTGAGATCAATTGGGAATCTGGAAGTGCGTTTTAAAAGTTGATTGAAGAGTTTACGAAATTACAAACACACGTATTTGGATATCAACCGACAGCTCATGGCTCGATCCAACGGCTACAATCATCCTGGAGGAGTGTGAATTGAGGCGAACAAAGTAGGGTAATTAATATTTTGATTTCCTTCGTTTTTTTCCCCTTCGGATTTCGTCGCTGATGAAGGAAAATTCATTTGCTTGCCTCTCTTTTTTTTTTTTTTTTATATACTTTTTTGGTTACCTCGTCGTGACTTGAGCAGATAATTTAGTTAATTTTAGGGATGTATGGAAAATCCAGTGGCTTTTGATTGAATTTGACCGGACATCCTTTATATCTGAGGGAAGCACTGGCTTTGATTCTGTTTGAATTTGAAGTTGTGCCTTTTTCATCGCTTTTGGGTATGTTTGGATTGGCGTTGGGCAAAACTGACTTCTAACTCAACTGACTTTTGTAACTGAAGTTAGAGTAAAAGTCAGTTAGTGTAGTGTAATTTATGTTTGGATAGATGTTTTTAAAAAGCCAGTTGAAAAAGTTAAAAGTTGTTTGGATGATTAATAGAAAAGTTAGTTTAGTTGTAAAATGACTGAAAAGGATATGGAGTAGTGTTTGAAATTTTATATTTTTAATGTGATAATAATTTAAAGAAACACGTAAAATTATTGTGATAAAATATAAATAGTTTATTTGTAAAATTATAAAATAAAAATATTTGTTACGGAGAAAAATTTGAAAATATATTGTAGATAATTAATTAAATATACATAATAAACAAACATGAATATAAATTAAAATTTATTTGGTCTCTAATTAAAATAAATAGAATCACATAACTAATTAGATCGTAAACTTTGCACAATTTTTCCATAAGTCAGTTAGAAAAGTTGATCCAGATTGCGATGGATAAGTTAGTTAGAAAAGTTACTTTTTTTCATAAGTCAGTTAGAAACGAAGATCAATCCAAACAATCTTCTAAGCTGCAATAAGCCACGAACCTCAATTTCACGCTTTCCTGTGTGCTTTTGGCATTCCAAACGGTAATCCAAACAAGCCCTTTGTCTTCTAAGGCTTTGGTTCTTCATTGTCAGTGAATTTTCTTTCAATTGAACAGTTTGACTATCTACTACCTCTCGTTTTTAATATAAGGTTTCATTTGATTTTTATTTTGGTCTTAGATATAAAAACCTAACTCACTATGTCTCTCATACTTATACTTTTTTTCAAAATAATCATTCTAATAATAATAGTTATAGCTAATACACTTAATTAGTGAGGATATTTTAAGAAAAACAATACCTATTTATTATAGATAACTAGCTTATTTTATTTTCTCAGTATCTTCAAATTAGTCAACTAGCTCTTATAATTAGGACCGGATGTAATATCACTTATGATACTAGATTAAACCAATTTATAGTTTTCTTATTAAAATACTTGACTGTTAGTGTTAACCCACGTGGTTTTGTTTTTTTTAATCCACATGCTAATATGAATACTTTTTTAGATCTATAGATCTACTAGAAATTGTTTTAGTGGCAGCCAAAAATTTGTATTCATTTTTTAATAATATCATGCATGGATCAGACACACCATGGCAGTTTTTTTTTTTGAAAAAAATTGTCCTCAATAATAAAATTTGACAAGTGATGTCAAAATAAATTATTTATCGAGGTGACGAACCATTAATTCTAACGTATTTGATATTGCCACGAACAGATAATAATGCGTTCTGATGCCATAAATTGAACAACTATGGAAACAGGAAGCCAAAAAAAAAAAAAAAAATCAGCCCCAGTTAAATAGCAACGAGTGACACAATAATGCTGGGAAGATGCGTATGAAGTTTGCGGAGTAATATTATTGCGTGAATTATCTTGTGTTTTTTTTTTTTAAACCTCAAAGCTTAGTTGAGTTGAAATCATGTGTAATTATGTTAAATTCGCACTATAAATTACTTAATGGTTAGGCATCAGCGGCAATCATCTAATCTAATTATGATATTATTTCTTACAGAATACTAAAGTGAAATCTCATTCTCGTGGTTATAAGAAAAAGGGTAAAAAGTGGGGAAAAAGGGGGTCTCGCTGGGAGCATATGGCAGAATTGTAGATCCGCGGGAATAGTAAAGGGCAGGGAGGAATAAAACAGAAACGATATGTAAATAAATGAATGAAAGTTGATATTTTAATATTTGCCAGATTGATATATCGAGGAAAAGGAAGAAAAAAACCTGATTGAGGACCCAATAAGATGAAGCCACGCGTCAAGGAAACATCTTCCATCACTTGTACTGGCTCCATGCTCTTTGTGCTCAGGTGGCTGCATGGGGGGCCCATGACAACACAAGGAGCTCGCTTAAAAACTTTACAATTTGCATCAATTTAAAAAAAAAAAAAAAGAAGAAGAGAAGCGCGTTTGGGAACCGAGTGACAGCTCGATCACACAATTCTTACGGGTTGCGTTCAAACAGGCCTTGCGCCCTTTAATTCTTTTTCAATCTTTATATTTTTGTAATTTGAAGCGGTGCAACCACAGCCGTCGGATCGACACCAAACTTCCCCGCCTCTTTGTTTTGTTTTCATTTGATTTCGCCGTACTCGTGGGATGATTGTTTGCTTTTGAAAAACAACTCATCATCAGGGATTGTGTCGTTGTCTGTCAACGCCTTGATATACGGAGCCCATTAGGATATTTGGGCCCGGAACGGCCCACACCCCTCTCCATCTTTTTAAAAAGGCAAAAGGACATTGCGCACGTTGATGTGAAAAAACAAAGGTTTAATAATTGTATCAAAAAGAGAAGGGTTTAATGATTCAAGACTTCGGGTTGGCCCCAAAAAAAAACAAAGATAACTGAAGATTTCTATCTGCCTTATCAACCTCCGCTGCCCAATACGGACACGATCTCACATTCCAATGTTAAACTCTCCAGGTCAACTACGAACCCTGAACAAATAAACCAGCACTTTCTTTTAAATAACGCCAATTAGGTTAGCAACCCGTCAGACATCTTGAGTTATATAAACTTATTATCTTTATGATATTTTTAATATCAGAACTAAAACTAATTTGAATAGATTAAAAAACTTAATTAAATTAATTATTTAAAATAAATAAATATTGCCTTCGTTTAAAACCTTACTAATCATGTATATTAATTAGAACTAATAAAACCTTTAACATATACACTATTACAAAGAAAAAAATAAATAAACATAAGAAACAAAATAAATTAAAACTCTTTTATTAGAATTCAAAGTCAAACTAAGTGAAGCTAACATCATTTATTGCTGGCGTATGACACCTATTGTTTGCCCCGGTGGTATGTCTGTCTGGGTCAGTCCTAAATGACATTTTCTTCCTTTTCAAACATTAATTTAATCATTAAACCTGATCGTGCGTGAAAAGAACCATGGCAATCAACTCTGACATCGGATTAATGCTTCCGACACAAAATGGAGGAAGCCACATTCTTTTACCAGATCAAATTTACCATAGATTACAATAAATTGAAAGCACCAACACACCGCAGAAATCACAGTCACTACAGGGATGAAGCCTAGCAGATTTAATCCTTAATAATTGCTTGCGGGTCCCTTGCCAGGAAAAAATTCCTAATATTAAAGCCTGGAAGTCCTTAACGAAAGACAAAACCACCAATCCTGAGATTTGTGGATTCAGATTCTCATGTCATTTATTACTTCTTTAATTCCTTTTCCTTCTCTTCTTTCATTTTTATCCCTCGTGAAACATGGGCCGACTGAAATGGCCAACAAACATCGATGACCGCCACAAAACGCAGTCACCAGTATGGGGCCAGAGATCAAACACCTGCACGGAACGCCTGAAGTGAATAACATTCAATTAAAAAATATGCTTTTTTTTTTTTTGCCAAAAAATATATTACTTCATATGATTACCAAATACACGCACACACGCACACTCTTCTTAACCTTTCCTCAGACTTTTTTAAATGAAAGCTTGACCCCTATAAATGAAATATTCGCCATTTAGTCTTTGTCATCAATGCTCTATCAATCTAATAAATTAATGTCATAATACTATATTCTATTAAAAATTCCAATCTTATGTAGCAAGGAATAAAAGTGGGAAGAAAAGAACGGCAAGCACCAGAAGACGCGGAACCCATAGACAAGCAAATTTACTCACCAAGGACTGAAGAACTTTCTTGCTGCAATATATCTAAACACCGATGTCAAACTCCACTACTCCCAAAATTGTTATTGTATATTCTTCATGCTCTATCATTTTTATCATGGAATGGGGGAGATTGGATGACACCATGCATTCAAGTTATCATTAAAATTTATGCGGCACAAAATTTGACCTCAATATTGAAGATCAATAAATAGGGCAACAAACTTACAAGAATCTGGGTTATCAGTAAGAAGGAAGAAACCTTTTCTCAACAATGCTTCTGGGTTGCATTTTAAGCAGGAATATATGACTCCAGAATCAATTGTGCTGGAGAGGGTGATCTGATCTCGACAATCAAGTATGTAAACTTCCATCGTTTGTCCACTTGGTCTTTGAACATCTCACAGAAAACTTTCCCACTTCCATGGGGCCCCCGGATATAGAAATTAACCTGTAACCCAAAGAGCCATGGTTGAGAATTGCAAATATAGATGAAAACAATTCAGCAAAGACACCAATGAAAATTTCCTGACCATTCTTTGTCTTTTTCCCTTTTTTTTTGGGAGGGTGTAGGGCTTGAGGAAGGGAGGTGTACCAGATAGTCCAAAAAAGAAATAGTTAGTACTTTAAATTAATAAATACCTCAACATGCTCGACCCCACCTTCATCAGTCCAAACTTTGTTGGGAATTCGTTGCCGAGCAGCTCGATTTCTACTCTCCTGACCATAGCCAGTAATTGGGGATCCAATTCTGACTCTAACCTGATATAATGCATTGAGAGAGAGGTTGAGTTTTACTAGGAGAAATAACTGCCATTCGTTAGCACACATACTAGCAAAATATTAGACAACTTTGCATTCACCGACTCTCTAGTATGACTAGCAGCACTAATGATTTTTTCTTTTTTTCAGCGCATGCCCTCAAAGCATCTGTTATTTTGTCTAAAAGATGGAGCAACAGCTTAATAAGAAAATCCATACTTAAACATCAGAAATTCAGAGCCATCAAGATTTGTTAAAGCTTCTCATCACCGATTTAACCTGTATCTCACCGAAACTATTTGTTCCTCCTCTAAAACTATCCTTGCGTTGACCTTATGTACTATGGTCCAACATGATCAGGTTCTTTTGATGCCGGAATACAAATAAACTCGGACAATGGTCTGTCCTTATAAGATTTAACCTCCTCAACAAACAAGTTCCCCTTTTGGGTTTCCTTCTTAGTTCAGGAAAATAAATAAGAAAATCAGGGCTATTCACCTGACTGTCATTTTGAATTCTCTCTAGAGCCGTGTTAAAGATTTTGTACCTGACACCAACTTTTAAAAATCAGAGGGGGATCAAATGAAGATAAAAAACATCAAGCAACAAAGTCATAATAATCTTCAGAGAACATAATTCAAAATAAAATTAAGCTATTTACTCTTTGGGTTCAAATATAAGCTCCTTGAAAACAGCATATCCAGCAGCAGCCGCAATTCCAAGACCAACAAGGATGACGACACTGTAGGACGCCCCCTCCACAAACGTTACTGGCTTCTCTGGAATATTATATGTAGGAGCATCAAAAGGATCTTCAACAGTTGATATGTCTTTTTTAGTCTGCCAAAGAGGGAAATGGAGGTATCAAGGTGCTTGACCCATTGTGACAAACAAGGGTACCATTACAGTCACTGAAAATGAGGGAACGATAAAAACAGCACAAAATTTTCGCAGCTTAACCTCATTTGTATTTTCTCCTTGTTTGTTTGATGCCCTCGAAGAAATGGATCTGACACAAGGAAAACTGATAGAGTCCATTTCATGGTTCACCCTAGGCAGATATGGAGGCTGAAAACTGGCTGTACATGTTCCAGCAAACCATCCACTGAATTGAACAGCCATTCCTGCAAATTTTTATATTCACATCCCAGGGTAAAAAAGATAAAATATATGGGACTCACTGGCCAAATCAGGCATCATGAACCTAACTAGTGTAAATCAGCAAGCATTGTTAAGTCATAAATTCATCAGTGAAATACACAATCAATGGTTTTTGAGGTAAGGGCATAAATCCCAGATTCCAATCAACAGCAAGGTATGCATGCTCTTAAACCCAGAGCCCTCACCCAAAAGAAAAAGAAAAACCATATTCTTCCAAGAGCTAGTGAAAGACATTTTAAATTCCTGGATTAAGATTCAGTCATATGTAAATATACAATGGTGACCAACCATTCGCTCCTCGTATATCCTGCACACAAATAGGGAACCATAATAAATAGTGTGGAATTGAGCCTTCAACAACAAATAAATGAAATTAGAGAAAAACAGCTTCAACGTCACAAAGAAACATTTTCTCCGATATATCACTCTGTTCCTTAAAATTTCATGCATTTAATCAACAAAATATCAAAATACTAATGACACTACTGTACGAGATGCCAAGCTCCCACCGTAACTTTTCCAGCATGTTTTAGACGAAATCATACTACAATTATAATTATAACTTATAGAAAAATCTGTTTGCCAAAGTGAATACTATCCAACTCAAACTAAATTATAACAAAAAGTTCATCAGCTATAACATAAGAAGTCATTGTCAGATATTTAATAAACTGTAGAAGCAACTGTTGATCACAAACGCCTCAGCTGGATGGAAGGATGTGATTACACGCAGTACATTCTGATTTTTTTTTTTTGGGGGGGGGGGGGATGCAATATATTCATTAGTTATAAAATTAACCGTTATCGTCCCTTCGGGAGCATCCGATAAAATTAACCACTATTGTGAATCTCGATGGGTTTTGGAGAACAAAGATGATCTCGACAAGGGTTCCAATGAATAGTCAGGGCCAAGACGTACAGACAAACATCATACAATGCAGTAATTTCGGGATTAGAAAATTCCGACATTTCAATACACACGGAACTTTAGTGCATGCTTTGCGTATTTCAAAATGTAGACGCGATGCAATTGTTGAAGAATAGATAAGCCTTTCAGAAAATAAAGCAGACACTGAAACCAAATGCCTACGAAAATTCGAAAAAAGAAATGACATCTTCACCAGTGACTTCCAGGCAATGAACCAATAACAGAAGAGTTGCCAGCAAGTCTACAATTTTTACCTTCTTCACCTGCCCCAACCGAGGAATATCAGCAGGCTGCAAAGGTCGAGTGTGCTGTACTAATGATCGCGTTGTTGCGTACCGCCAGTGCCTAAGATTCGATAACAACTCCACATCGTACAGCTGTCTGCTCCGCCACAAATCCGAAAAATATTTTGACGCGCCTGAAGGGAAATAAATCATGTTTGGTCATGAAGAAATTTGTTGACAGAGCAGGACAGAGAAACCTCTGAATTCCCAAACTTCCGTCGACCAAATACAATTTGCACAAGTACATTCCAAGAAGAAAAATAAACAAGTTAGGTTATTAGGGAATACAGAATAAGTTTACCCATTGTAATTGGATATGTTAAATGGAATCAGCGTCTTCAAAACTCAATGCTCAATGCTCAAGTTATTCAGTGAGCGGATGAAGCGAAGAACCCTAAACCCCTGATGGCCTGATCGTAGTCTTGGAAGACACTCACAGTGTGGGCGGGTCGATCTACGATTTTTTTTGTTGATTTTTTTTGGGAGCACGATTTGTCAATTTTATTGCCGGTTTTTTGGGTGGATCCAATCCCTCTGAATGTGGCCCAAATACTGTGGGCTGTCTTGCAAGATTTCTTCTATATCCACGGTAGCCTTTTTGGGCCCTGAATACAAACTGTTACCTTTTTTGGCAACAAAAACCTATTACGCTTGTAGGTTGGCAAAGAGGGGGCTCGGTCTTTTTTTTTGACCCCTCGCAAAGTTTTTTGACTAAAAAAAAAAACAGAGAGAGAGATGAAATACCTTTTTTGCTACAACAGTGAATTACGGATAAAAAGAAAATAGTAGTATAATTAGTATAATTTCATTCCTTGTGGGCCTTCTTTTCTGGAGTAAAGTCTGGTTGATTAACTTGAAGATATTCGTCAACAAGAAAAGCAGCCAGAACACGTTGTTTTCAACTCTCTAGAAAACAAACGTGATTGTATTTTTTATTTTTGTTTTGATAAATTCCACGTCTTATCTGATGCTTAATGTGATCAGTAGTTAGATAATTAAAAAAGGAATAAATAAGATCCATCACGGAGGAAAACTTAATGTCCAGTAGTGCTTTATTGAAATCATAATTCAACACTGACCTACACAAGTGCTTCATTGATACCATAATTTTATTAAATATAACACATCCCTCGAAGAAATACAAAAGCCATTCCTTCAGCACACGAACAAGAAGAGTGCCCAGAAATCTCTAGCCTAAAAATGATGCCAAACGAGGATCCGTGCGGTGAGGAAGACCGGATCGAGCACCCAAAGCTCTACAATTGGCAGCTGCCTGCAGTCATCATCACTGCGAAATTAGTAAAATTGCACTGCAAATAAAATTCCACCATTCATATTTTCCTATTTTCCTTCCTAGTTTGATTGGCCACTCAGAAAAATATGGATAGCGATTTCTCAATGGATTACAAGAAACTTACCACTTGAGAGGCGAATGGCAACATTTTCTCAGGTAACATGTTTGCGCAGATAGCTACAAAATGAGTGAGAGATAAGTATATCAAATCCTCAAATAACAATCGAAACCAACATAAAACTTGTTAACCATGAAGTGAAAAACGTGGACCGGATATTGGGATGTTGGCAAGTGATACGGGAAGTCAATGATATCCATTATCGCAAACTTTTTTCAGGTACCATGATGACGCGAAAACTCATCCTTACAATCTGCCTGAAGTCTCATCGCTAGACCACTCACAGCTATGTCTACTTTCCTTTCAGTGGGTAAACTGTATGAACTCATTGATCTGGGGATGCATTATTATCCAAGTTATGAGAGTGTTTCTTTTGTGTTTTTTTTTTTTTGGGGGGGGGGGGGGGACCAGCTGCATGGCTAAACAAAGAGCTAACCCACTGGAGAACTGAATCCGCAGGCAACTTCAGGAAGAAATAAAGCAAATGAAAATAGAGCAAAGTTGCTAGTAATTTCACTATGTTGTGTTCTAAATCTGGCCGATTCGAATAATATCATCAAGAGAGCATATATCATATATAAGATTACACATACCATAAAGTACAGCTCCACTAAACGCATCCCCAGCACCAGTTGTATCAGTCAATTCACAAGCCGGTATCTTCTCTGCTGTTCCAACAAATAAACGTCCACACACGGTCCCTATTCCATCTGCTTTTAATTTTGTCACGGTCTGAGAGAGGGGAAAAAGCGCAGTGAACATGATCCTCCAACTCAACGGGGATGTTATGGAAGGAGACATCATATTAAATTAGAATTTCTCGAAATTAAAGTGTATACTGATATTTTACCGATGATATACAAGTTGGGATAATCAGATCATCATCTCTCTCTTTATATAGGGATTCTATTACATTGTCCACATCCCTTTCTTCTATGTCAGTGCCCTCTGCCATAAAGGATATAGAGTCAGAGCTTAGTAGCCTACATATCTTCTTGGAACACAAATATCAAATGCAAAGCAACAGTTTTATGAATGTTAAATTGAAAGGGTCAAGTGTAAATTCACCCGTAATGCTTCTTTCCAGCATTATACATCCATCTTCACCCAGAGTCACAATCACAAATTTGATATTTGGCAATCTTAAAAGCATAGAAACCAGTGCACTTGGAATGGATGGTGCTTGGGTCCATGCCTGATACAAAAGGAGCACAAATAATGCAGCCAAGTACACTAGACTTTAAAGAACTGAACATAAGCGGAAGCATGTGTATCATACATGTGAAATAAAGCAGCAATACCGCCTAACAATTCAACCTCATCATATTATTCTAGAAAAAGATGAACTGGAAGTACATATAGAAGGCATCTGAACTCTTAAGGGCAACATAACTCAATGCATATTCAACTATCGAATTTTGATCAGTTTGTTACTGTTGATGAAAAGCAAAGTCATACAATTGTAGCAAGTCCAATATGTTGACACGTTTATGGATTCATAAATTGTCAAAACAAAGTCAAAATAGATTAATATAAGATATAACAAAGTCAAAACAGATGCATACAAGATATAACACCATGCAGAGATAAGAGTCAACCAAAAGCACCTCATAATGATAGAGCAATCGAAGTACCTGTGGAAACCTTGCAGAGCATACAGCATAATCAGCAAGACCCAGGAGCTCATCCAATCCTCCCCTCACTGATTCCGCCCCAACTAATATAGGTATGTTATTCCGAGCTGCCTGTATTTAAAAATTTGATGACAACTGTTTACTGTTCAGATCCAGAATTATGGTATTGATTCCCCCGCTCAAGTCTTAGTTTCATTGTAAAAGAATAAAAATTACATCCATCACTGCAAAATTTAAATATAGAATGGCTAGCAGGGCAAGCCACTGCATAGGAGTCACTTAGGCTTTGGTGCTAAATTTATCAAAACGAAAAAGCTGTAAATGCAGATAACTTTTCTAGGAAACTCTTGGGCTACATTTCATACCCAAATTTTAAATTGTTGAAGAGATGAAAAGCAAAAGCAAAACACAAATTACCTCATGTGCGACAAATAGTGCAGTTTCAGTTGATGTTCCATCAAAATAAACTAATCTTGCTTCATTAAATGCAGATAATAGGATTGATTGGGACAGGTCAGTTGGCATCAGGGGAGGTTCTCCAGGGGTATAAATGCATGTACGAGTTTTCCTGAAAGGCTAGCTTAGAATTAGGTTACAGAAGCCCTTGGTCAAAAGCCTCGATTATGAGCAAGAATATATTTATGCTCTAATGCATGAACTCATCCAAAATAAAAAAATATGGAGAATCATTGTCCAATTTAATATTCTGCCAGAACGCTGCGTTTAAACCAGTAATTGTTATCAGTAAGGTTGGGTTTGTGCCAGAAGATTAAAATGCATTGCCCATGGACAAGCTAGGAAACTTCCTAGAAGAGCATTCCTATGAGTATTTTAAAGTAAACAAAATGATTTTTGACCCAAAAAATGGTGACTTTTCATCTTGAATATGAACGAATCAATACACCTCTATTCATGACTGAAAATATGGAAATTAGATAGGACATCGGCTGAGTAGAAAAGGCTTTGAGTTCCATAAGATTATACAAATTATTTTAATAAGGGTTTGATGTAGAACAAGAAAGGATTGGAAGGGATGAGAAGTTAGAGAAGAGGAAGAAGAAGAGAGGAGGAGTAAAGGAGCAGGGAGAACGGAAGGAAAACTGATCGATAAATTCCAAATGCCAAGTCTGATTACACAAATGAAACCCTAAACTATAAATAAAAGAAATAAAATGAGGGGAGTGGGGAAGTGGGGTGAGTGGAGTAACTACCCACTCTCTAAAATACAGAAATAACTAACAAAATAAACAATAATAAAATAATTAATTAGTTAAATTAAATCTGCATCATTTCTCCCCGGGTTGGAAGAACTCGCCACTGGAGAGTTGGACAGCTGGAAGTCATCAAGGAAGGCGAGGTTTATACGACAGAATTCGTCCTCGATGAGCCACGTGGTGTCTGCATCATTGCAGCCTGTCCAACAAACGAGGTAACGACTGATGGGATCTGCTGGAGTGGATATCGTTGCTCATCCATCACGGCGTCAATGGCTTAGGCGGGTGGCGCAACCTTAGGCAACGGTGGAGTTGGGGCTTGGTGGGTCGGGGTACCTGTAGTATCATCAGAAAACAAAAGGGGTGGCTCGAAAATGCCCCGATAAAGAACAAGATCCTCAACATTAAATACTAGACTGATAGCCATATCTAGAGGTAACTCTAATAAATATGCATTAGACCCTAACTTCTTGGAAATGCAAAACGGGCCAGAGGCACGGGCATGCAGCTTCTTGTAAGGCCTCTTTGGGAAACGCTCAGGCCGTATGCGAGCCATAACAAGGTCGCCAACATCGAACTCCTGGTGACGTCGATGGACACCGGCAGCTATCTTATACCTGTTATTATTTAAAGTTAACTTATGCCTAACCTCAGCATGAATATCGTGAAGGCAATGTGCAAAGGTCTCGGCGGACTTAGAAGGGCGAGCAAACAGGGGAAGGGGAACAAGGTCAATAGGCTGCTTTGGGTTGGAACCCTGAACAATTTGGAATGGGCTTTTGCCAGTGGATCTATTGATTGAGTTATTGTAAGCAAATTCAGCTATAGGCAAGACTAAATCCCAGTTACCAGGCTTATTGCCAACTAAACTACGGAGCAGGTCACCTAAGCTACGGTTAGTTACTTCAGTCTGTTCGTCAGTCTGAGGGTGGAAAGCAACGAGAACTTCAGTTGTGTCCCGAAGAGCTTCCAAAGGGTCTTCCAGAAATAGCTGACAAACTTGACATCCCTATCAGAGACAATAGTAGTAGGCAAACCGTGAAGACGCACAACCTCTTGAAAGAAAAGCCTTGTCAGATGTGAGGCAGCAGTAGTCCTACTGCACGGAATAAAATATGCCATGTTCGAGAATCTATCAACCACAACTAAGACAGAGTCGTGCCCTCTCACTGTCTTAGGCAACCCAAGCACGAAATCCATGCTAATGTCCTTCCAAGGTGACTCAGGAATAGGAAGAGGCATGTATAATCCAGTATTCCTCTTCTTTGCCTTGGCCGTATGGCATGTACGACACTGGGAAAGGATTCGAGCAACATCACGCTTAAGGGAAGGCTAATAGAACCTATCTTCAACCAGGGCTGTAGTTTTCTGAACGCCGAAGTGTTCGGCTAACCCTCCCGCATGCAATTCCCAAATGAGAAAATCGCGTAGTGACGTGCGGGGAATGCACAATCTCAACCCATGGAACAGGTAGCCATCATCGATAAGGAAATCCACATGATCGTGGAGGTTGCCATCTTTAACCTCGTTATAAATGATGCCAAAGTCAGGACATGAGGTGTACTCATCCTTGAGCCTGTCAAAGCCCATGACACTAAACGTCAGAGTGTTGAGAACGTGGATTCTTTGGCTAAGAGTGTCAGCTACTTTGTTCTCTACCCCTGGGCGATGCTTGACCACGAAGGTAAATTCCTGAATGAATTCGCTCCACTTGGCATGTTTGGCATTCAAGTGCCGTTGGGAGCTAAGGAACTTGAGAGACTGGTTGTCTGAGTAGATGACAAACTGTTGGAGAAGGAGATAGTACTTCCAATGCTCCAAAGAGCAAACAATGGCGTAGAACTCCTTGTCGTACGTGGAGTACTTTTGCTTGACCTCATTAAGCTTCTCACTGAAGTAGGCGACAGGGTGGCCTTCTTGGCTTAGAACGCCTCCAATCCCAACCCCGTATGCGTCGCAAGCAACTTCAAAGCACTTGTTAAAATCAGGTAAAGCCAGGACGGGAGCACTCGAGAGTTTCTTCTTAATAGTGCTGAAAGCTGTGGAGGCCGAGGGAGTCCAATTGAACTTATCCTTCTTCAGGCAGTTAGTAAGTGGAGACATAAGTGTGCTGAAGTCTCTAATGAAACGCCGATAGAAGGATGCAAGCCCATGGAAGCTACGTGCTTCATGCAGTGTCTGTGGTTCTGGCCAATCTTGGATAGCTCGGACTTTTGTAGGGTCTGCAGATAAGCCTTGTTCCGAGACGATGAATCCGAGAAACATAACTTGGTTCTGTAGGAAGGAGCACTTTGGTAGGTTGAGATAAAACTTCTCCTTCCGAAGGGTCAGAAACACCTGTCTAAGGTGGTGCAAGTGGTCGTCTCTGGACTTACTAAAGACCAGAATGTCATCAAAGTAGATAACCACGAACTTTCCTAGATAGGACTGTAGCATATGTATCATCACTCGCATGAATGTGCTCAGGGCGTTTGTTAAGCCAAATGGCATAACGAGCCACTCGTATAGTCCATCTTGCGGTTTAAACGCAGTTTTCCACTCATCTCCTGGTCTGATTCGAATCTGATGGTAACCACTGCGAAGATCGAGCTTGGAGAACCATTTAGATCCAGACACTAAATCAAGCATGTCCTCCACCCTAGGGATCGGGAATCTGTACTTGACAGTTATCTTGTTGATGGCTTGACTATCAACACACATTCTCCACGAGCCGTCTTTCTTCGAAGTCAGAAGGGCAGGGACAGCACAAGGACTGAGGCTATGCTGGATATAGCCCTTCTCAAGTAAGCCGTTAACCTGACGATTGAGCTCTTCCCGATCTTTAGGGTTCATCCTGTAGTGTGGAAGGTTGGGGAGTTGTGATCCTGGAACCAAATCGATCGCATGCTGGATGTTCCTCATGGGTGGCAAGTCAGGAGGTAACTCCTCAAGTGCAACATCTTTAAACTCGTCCAAGAGTTGGGTCATTTCTTTTGGAAGGCTGTCAGGTGTTGGTGCAGCAGGAGAGAAGACTTTGGAAACAACGGTAAGGATGACATCAGCCTCTCTACTTTCTTCGATGAACTGCTTCTCTGTAAGGAGGTGAAGGTTGATAGGCTTAGAGGCGGATCCTTTCGTGGGGGCTAGACCCTTTGCTTTAGGCTCAGGCTTTGCAGGACGAAGTAAGATGGTCTTGCCCTCATGCTTGAAGATGTAGTCGTTTGCTCGGCCTTGGATAGTGACATCATGGTCATATAGCCACAGGCGTCCTAAAAGAATGTGAGACACATCCATAGGGATCACGACACACAAAACATCTTCCTTGTAGTCGCTCAAATGGAGTGGGACACGACACTGCTGAGTGATAAGCAATGAAGTGTTGTCGACCCACACAACTCTGAAAGGCTTAGCAATTCGCTCTGTCTTAAGTCCAAGACGAGCAACACCTCGACTAGAGATCACATTCCTTTCACTTCTACTATCAATAACCAACTTGCATGACTTATCACTACACTTCACGAAGGTGTGGAAGATGTTGTTCTGTTTCCATGAGTCATCTGGCGTTGGGACAGTCAGGAGGCATCGCATCACTCCAAGATGACCTGATGGCATGTCATCACAATTAATTTCTTCGTCCACATCAGAAGGAATATCGACAAGGTCGATGACGACATCTGGCTCGCTCTCGAGTAGTGCATCATCTTGAGATTCGATAAGCAACGCACGTTGCGGGCACTTTGAAGCGATGTGTCCCTTAGAGTGATACTTGAAACACTCTATTGATGAGCTACCTATGTGAGCGTTCGAGGCTGATGACTCTCTTAGTCTAGAAGCGCTTGGCCCTGAAAGTTGTTGACTTACCCGTTGATTGGTCGAAACAGCGGAGCTGCGTGTTGGACGAGACTCTAATCTAGAGGGATACTTAGGCAGGGAGTCAATGTCAATAGCCTTATGATATGCTTCCTCTAAAGCGTAAGGACGGTTTACTCTGAGCTCCCTCTGTATGTCATCCCTAAGGCCGCTGATGAACCTCTCAATAATCACAAAACTAGGCTCATTTAAGTCATTGCAAATCAGAAGGTCATTGTATCGAGAGACATAGTCGGCTGCCGATGGGGTTCCCTGCTTGAGGCTATTCAATTGGTTGAAAAGCGTGCTTAAGTGACTGACCGGCACGTACTTTTCCTTAAGCTTCAACTTCATCTCCTCCCAAGTAGTGACAGGAGGTTGCCTTAAGCATTCAAGGTTCGCTTGGATGTACTGCCAATACTTCCTTGCAGATCCTACGAGCTTCATCTTGGTAAAACGAACGCGCTGTATGTCACTCATATTGTATCACTCGAAGTAGTCGTCCATGGTGGCTAACCAATCGAGGAAGGCATTCGCGTCTAAACAACCATCAAAGTCAGGTGCCTCGACTTTAACCCTCTTCATCGCATCATCATTGTTGTCTTGCTGAGGGGTGTCTCGGTATCGTCTGGGAGGCGACGGGTCTCGTCCATACCTAGGGCGCGCGGCGTATCCTCCATAAGTTCGTCGGTTCGCAACATGGGATTCGTAGTGAGCCTCTGTCCCTTGCTCATCCCATGGGTTGTCCTCTTCCTCGAACTGTGGGGGAAGGGTCTCAACGTGTAGCAGTTTAGTCTGCGAGTTACGCGGACCTATAGACAATTGGGAGCCTCTAGTGTGAGATGGTCCAACGGTGTCGGGCTTAAGGTACGCTTGATTGATCTCAGGGACACTTCCAAGAATCCCTTCTGCACCCTTACTAAAGACCTGCTTATTCTTAGGAGAGAATCTCTAATTTCTTGCTGGTAGGTCCTAAGCTATTTATTAGATACCTTAAGCTCTTGGGTAGTGGCGCTAAGCTCCTGAAATTGGGAGTTATATTCTTGCTTAATCTCGGCCAATGATTCCTTAAGGCATTTAGTGATTTCATTCAGTTTCAATTCAAAAGCCTGAAGTCTCTGGTCCATTTGGGATTAAAGGGAGCTGACAGAAGGTTCTAGGGATTGCAGTGCTAGGTCTAAGGTGTCTTGTCTATTTTTAATATCACGAATAGTCATGCAATAGCTAAGCAAAAATTAACAGCAAATAATGAAGCAAGTAAGAAGCTACTAAAATGAAAATAAATTCTTCTTTTTTTCCTCTTTTTTTTTCTCTTTTTTCTCTCTCTCTTTTTTTTTGAGCTACAAAATAATATTCAAAAATAATAACAAAAATATATACAGAAGCAGTAAAAAACAACACAATAATAAGATAAAGTAATCCAGCAATAACAAGGACCCAAAGCAATAACAAGTAACCTCCAGTATACTAAAAGTCACAGTAATTAATTAGAGGGTTGATTGGGCCTTCAAAGTGACGCTGCGCAGAGGGAGTTCGGCTGGATCGTGGAGGCTGTTTCCGTTGGTTTCTGGTTGTGAAACCTTGAGATTTGGACGGATTGTTGTCTACGGTGAGAATGGAAGTGGCGGCGTGGTGAACGGTCATCGGAAAATGAGCGAACAATGGTGAAGGAGTGGCGGCTATGGGTGGTTTTGCGACAAGGGCGTGTTTGGGGATTGAAAAATGAGTTTGAAAAAGTAGAATGAAGTAATCAACCTAGCTCTGATACCGAAATTGATGTAGAACAAGAAAGGATTGGAAGGGATGAGAAGTTAGAGAAGAGGAAGAAGAAGAGAGGAGGAGTAAAGGAGCAGGGAGAACAGAAGGAAAACTGATCGATAAAGTCCAAATGCCAAGTCTGATTATACAAATGAAACCCTAAACTATAAATAAAAGAAAGAAATAAAATAAATAAAAGAAATAAAATGAAGGGAGTGGGGAAGTGGGGTGAGTGGAGTAACTACCCACTCTCTAAAATACAGAAATAATTAACAAAATAAACAATAATAAAATAATTAATTAGTTAAATTAAATCTGCATCAGGGTTGCTCAAAAATATTAGCGGGATGTGGAGGTAAAACATACTAGCAACTGCCTTACGTTTGGTTGTCCACAAGCACATACGAAAATGTTGAACTGCCATCCTTGGAGACCTAAACAAGCAGATTTACAACTCAGGAAGAGATAAGGGGGAAAGAAGAAAGACAACCAAACACAATTGATCAAAAAGTAAAGAAGATGAAACTAGAGAGATAATAGGAAGATCATTAGAACAGAGAGTCCTTTTTTTCCCAAAAATTACGAATTGCACACGTATGAATCTTACAACGAAAAAGGAAGTATCCACCCCATCGGCTTCTAGCTCCTTCAATATCCCCCTGCCTTGGGCATCACCGGAAACCTAAGGAATGCCCAGAAAGGTTTGTCACAGATTATGAATAAATCAGTCCTGCTCCATACCTCCGACCATACACTACGACATAAGATGCAAAAGATAGTTGAAAACCTTGGAGATCAACTTGGGTTTCAATCCGAGGCGAGCAGCACAAGTTAAAGCATTGCCCGCATTGCCACCTCCTTGAATCTAGAAAACCCAAAGTATACCGAAATGATCAAATTTTTTATCATGCATCTTCAAACTAATTCTCTGAGGTTAATGGCAGAGGGCGTGCATCAGTTTAATAACTCATATGAGGCAATTATTAATTAACACGAAAACGAGGCATTGGAGAGAACAGCAAAAAGGTCAACAGGCAAAGAGAAAGGCAATGTGGAAGAAATGAAACAGTCTATTAATGGCATTTTCTAACAGGAAGAATCAACTAAGTGGAACAAATGAATTGAGTCTCTACCACTACATTGTGTACCTTGAAGCTGGTGGTTCTGACCTTGTCGTCCGGCTTGGGATATGCATCCACAGTGGCCAGGAAATCTACTGTGGTCATTCCAAACCCCACCTGCTCTTAGAGTCACACGTATAACGTATGCAAGCCATTTCAGTTTCACTAAAAGCTATGAAATAAGAGTGAGACATACAACGACGCGGCTTTCGGGAGGGGGAGTGGCATCAGAGGACATTTTAACCCTCAAATTTCTGCAACGAAACGTCGTTGTCTGGGGGAAAAAAACAAAAAGAAAAGTAGAAGTTAACAGAAAAGGATATTCGATTAATAAAATGAATTAAAGAGGTGTAGCCACGAGTGATCAAACAAGAAGTGAATCGGAAGGAATGAAGGATAAAAGGAGAGGTGAATTGAATACCACGGCATTGGATGGAGCAAGATACAGCGGCTTCAACATAGTTGTCGTTGACCGCAGCTCAGAATTCAGCACGAGAGTGGAGTGGTGAGAGACCCCTGCTTCTGAGAAACAGAGAGGACGTGAAACGCTTCCTCTGGCATTTTACGCTTGAGCACTATGCACGACGGTGCCTATCTTGTGGACCAACCCACCAACCGCAGACACAATTCGGGAGATCATAATCATGTCATTTTTAATTATGTCTTTTTCGGGCTTTTGGGTAAGGTGAACAGATCGCACGGCGGGTCCCTTGTCATCCTTTTCCCTCCGGATGATAAAGAATTAAAGATTACGCCCGGACGTTCTTATCAGCTTAAAAATGTCAACGTAATTTTTAATTACATTAATCATATTGATGTATGGTTCATGAAACTCACTTAAATCAATAATAATTCATGCCTCGAACTTTTCCCATCACCATGGGAATCTTGGTAGATGGTTTAGAAGAATCTCTATATTTTTATTGTTATACCTTTTTGGGCTTTCTAGTGACATCAACTGATCAAGTGCTGACTGTCATTAGGGATCGTTTATCCTGTTACTTTAAAAATACTGGCATTTATGCAAGATTAAAAAAATTATTAGCTGTCAATTTATTTCAATCATTTACCTCATTTATGTTTGAGTTTCAATAAAAAAAAATTTTGAAAAAATTAGTTGAGAAAAATAGTCGTTTAACACCACCATTCACAATTTTTAAAATACCTATTTTTTAAATTGCTAAAAAAGTATTAATAAAATACCGAACATGCTTCCCATGCAATTGCATAAAGTTTGAATGCAACTTACTTTGTATGACTCCGAACAGCATACAATATATATACACACACACATATGGATTATTACTGTTCAGCAATTAAGATGATGGCATTAACGAGCAGCAAATAAAAAAATGATCCTTAATAAACAATATCTAATTGTTGGCAAAAAAAAAAATCTAATTTTTTTGTCTAAATGTTATCGTCCACGACGCAGAACAATATCCTTAATGAACAAACTTAGCGTCTTTTTCATTTTGCCAGGAAGCTAGCTCCGCATACACGCGTTCAACTTAAGAAATGAAAGCACGTCATTCACGTCATCCAAGAACTAGCCATACAAGGCTATTATTCTTCTCCTTCGGCTTTTTACTAACATTTGAACTCGGAACAAGGCAAATACTTTCTTCACCTCAACATGAAGACTAAATATGCTAGTCATGCTAGGTTATTATTAACCCATACAAATAGAAAATCGAATAGCCTACTGATCACATCTCATGCATCAGCTGAAGGCAAGATCAAAGCTTATATTTACTGCAAAAATGATGCCAGACGTGGGTCTGCACGGTATGGAAGACCACTTCTTGCTCCTATGGCTCTGCACTTGGCAGCTGCCTGCAATGGACGCCAAAACGCATATAAACCTTTTCCATTACCATTTGTAAATTGAGTACAGGAGTACAAAACCACTTACCACTGTAGCAGCGAAGGATAGCATTTTCTCCGGGGAAAAGTTGGCACAGATAGCTGAAAGCCGGGAAAGTAATAATATAGTAAGTAAATGTTAAAAATGCCAAGCATTTGTTTTGTTATACTTGTTGTCTGAAAATGGGCATTGTCAACGTCATTTTTCTCCTCTTTGAACCACAGGATTTTGACGTAAAATAGAGGTGGTAAGGCCGAAACCCTACTCCTGGCAGGAGTTATAAGGAATTCATAGTGAGATGTCTCCACAATGCGGTAACTTTGGAGAAATAAACACGTCACCATGCCAAAGAGGAATGCATGGTTTTTCAATACCAACCCATCTACAGCTATATCAACAAGCGTCAGACAACCTTAATCATGCAAGGCCGATTAAAGTAAAAATAGTAGGCAACCCATAAAGATCTAACATGGCCTACGGGGAAAAAGAATTAAATTACCAAAGAGAACAGCTCCAATGAATGCATCTCCAGCACCAGTCGTATCAACAAGCTCTGGTGATGGTATTTTCTCAGCTGTACCAACATAAATCCTTCCACAAATTGTTCCTATCCCTTCCGCCTTCAATTTTGTCACTGGCTGAGTGGATCAAAGGGAAAAGATAGATCTAAGCAACCATTTACAAAAGCCTGAATAAACATGCAGTAATTTTTAGTTACAATCTCACTTCTTTAGCTTTTAAAACACAAAGAATCAGGCACATTCTTATGTCCTTTGTATAACTAGAAAAAGTTTCTGATCTATAACACATGCCATCAGTTAAGGCAGATTTAAATTTTAGACTTGACTATTTGGCTGAAAAATAATTAATAAGTTCGGCTAAATCAAACGGTTGAGGTTCAGACAAACTAATAAACTACAATGTAAGACAGCAGGTAATAACAAATAAAAGTTGTCCCAACTTCAAAGATAGCTTAAGGATATTGGATGCTTTAAGTTGATATTGATGAACCTTTCAGACCTAGTATCTTCCAAGTCACACATTGGCAAAGGTTTGCAGGGCTTCTACATGTGGTCATGTTTCCGGCAGAGATGAACTCATTTCCACATAATGTCATCGTAATATTGCTAGATGCCTACATCATCTATCTCATACTTCTTAAACAATAATTCTCAAATGTTTCTTCCATTTTTTTAGTTAGGAACACCATTGAGAAAACTGCCTTACTCCAGTGTTGAAATTTAAAATAAATACTGTGATGGGCAATATAATCCACATGATCAACGCCAGTTCAGTAGGGAAAGACACCAATATGAACCTCATGATTCATGCATGTCCAAAGTTCAAATAATTGACACCAAACTTCACTTCAAGCATGATCTAAAGCATTTGCTGTGTTAATTTCACAAAACTGGGGAACTCTTCAGGAATACTGTAATGCGAGGACAGAGCAAAGAGGGTCTAGATTTCAAAGTTTCATTATTATTACCGATGCTATACAGTTTGGGACGGGTATGCTATCATTCTTTCTGTTCTCCAGTGATTCCAGTAAGCTGTCTACATCTACTTCTTCAGAGGATTGTCCCTCTGCAAGGAGAAAAATATTACATGAAAACGTGTTTGCTTTAGAAGGAAATGAAACATACAAGGATTACGCAACACAAACACAAGTCTTACAATTTGCATGCACAGTATCAAACTCTTCATCACAACAACAATACCACAAGCCACCTTTCCCCAAACCCAACAAAGAAAATACATTAGAAGGAATAGGAGAGCATCCCTACCATCATTACTTCTCTCAAGCATTATGCAACCATCTTTTCCCAAAGTTACAATCACAAATTTGATGTTGGGCAACCGTAAAAGCATAGAAACAAGTGCCCTTGGAAGAGTTGATGCCTCTGTCCATGCCTATCATTCAGAGAAAGGTATGTCATTCATGCTTAATGATTCCTATGACAAAAATATAAACCCCACTAAACAGAGTACAAAGAGAAACTAGAAACAAAGCTTCAGAAAAGCAATATGTAGATGTAACTACGAAAAATACGAAAAAGAAAGGAAACTAATATGTATCATCAATATTAGAAAAGGAAAATAATTTTTTTGTCATAAACGAAATGTGACTAAACTACTCTGCTTATGCATAATTGAAAGAACAAGTATACAACTAAAAGAGGACATAATTCCAATAAAAAAAAAAAATTTGTAGCCTTTTTCTTCTGTAGCTATCATTGAGCTAGTTTCTTCAGCTGAAAAACAAAAATCACTAAGTGACTGATAGAATAGAATAAAAAAGCGAGTCATTAAACTAAGTCCCACATTTATCCGTGAAAAAACAACAATGATGAGGATCACTATCATTCACTTCTAAAAACACTAGCACTTCTGAAAAAAAATAATGCAGTTACCTGTGGAAAGTTTGCTGAGCATACTATATAATCAGTTAATTTCAGGAGATCATCTAGCCCTTCCCTCAGTCTTTCTGCATCGATTAAGATGGGTACATCCTTCCGAACTGCCTGTACTGGAAAATATAAGATTTTGTTTACTTTCCATCAGATGAGGCCCCCTCTTTTCATCCTTGATCTCCTCTACCATCCAAAGAAAACAAAGGCAGGCATAAAAAGAACTAAATTCCGTATAAGTTTCTTGCATCTTATATTTCTTGCATTGTCACCTTTACACATTTCCCCTTGAGATTCTCACCTCGAACCATTGTCATAATGAGTTGTTACAATATATAATGAGGTTATTAGTGGTGACAATAATTGACTTTCCATTAAATAGAGTACAAAATATTTTTACTTCTTCACTAAAGCTTTGCTTGCTTCGACTTCTAAAATGATTAGGGTATCTAAAGTTGGGCATCAGAACAATGAGCAAATAAAATAAGTGATAACCTCATGCGCAACAACTAGGGCAGTTTCATGCAATCTCCCATCAAAATAAACAATTCTTGCTCCATCCAGTGCAGCTAACAAACTCGACTCAGAAAGTTCTTCAGGGATCATTGGAGGATGTCCTGGGGTATGTATACAAGTACGGGTCTTCCTGTAAAATGACACTGTGTTAAGTGTTTGAGGATCTTAAGATTTATCATAAAATCATAGCAACTAGTTGTCATTCTATTCTTATAGACAATGCATAATTTTTCTCCGGTCAGAACACAAGAAAATGGAAAAACTGAGGGACAGAGAGAGGTGAGACTTTCTGTTTGGATGGTATAGATACTACCCTATATGCTATTTTAAATTCAAAATCATGCAGTTGAGAGCGATCATAATCTTAGATGATGCACCTAATTCATGTAACTCTCTATATTTGGTCATTACAGTACTAATTGATAGAAGTCAAGATGGTGTAAGTTAAACAGTTACAGTTGCCTAAACTGAGTGAAAATGTAAAGAACTCGCATTATTAATCAAATAGCATGAAAAGTAAATAGAAGTTAAAGTAACAACAAAAAGAGCTCCCATGAAACTGGCAAAGAAGAGATGTCATCTTAAGGGATATTGTATTATGATTTATAATTGAATGCATGGTCACCATGTTTATTCCCCCCCCCCTCCCTCCCTCCTTCGAGGTCAGGAGTGCCGGGAAGAGAATATACAAATTAAAAAAGCAATAAGCCAATGACAATTACGTTTGGTTGTCCACAATTATATAGGTGAATGGTGAAGTGCCCTCCTCAGAAACCTGCAGATAATAGGGCATGCAACCAGAGAAGATTAAGAAAACATACAAAAATATAAACGAGAGTCATATGAAGAGTGAACGAATGCCCGAGGATTACCACCATAAAAGAGGTATCTACACCATCAACCTTCAGCTCATCTAAAATGCCCCTGCCTTGAGTGTCATCTGCAACCTAACAGGCGTCAAACATGTTTATAACACATACACATTATTGAATCAGGTTTAAATGGTTATGTATGCTAAGTTCCATGCGTCAAAAAACAGACTTTTGGAAAATAGAAAGCATAGTCCCTTTTTTTCCCCTAGAGAAGGCAGAGAGTGACAAAAACCTTGGATATCAGCCTAGGTTTTAAGCCCAAGCGAGCAACGCAAGTTAAAGCATTACCAGCATTGCCACCTCCTTGAACCTGATAAATCAATACACAGCGAAGTGGTTAAGGGAAAAAGAAACTCTTGCTTGTAGCTTTCTGGGCATTTAGCGGCACCCACTACACCTAGCCTTCAGAGGCATTTCTATAGGAAACAATAACAATTGCTCGAATCCATCAATACTTTATTTAACAAAAGAAAGATCGTCTCCCACTATGATAGAGGGGATTAACAGTTTCTCATCTAAAATCCACCCTAAAACGGTAAATCTACGTCGAATAACAATTAGTCAGCTAAGAAAGTCCGGAAAAGAAGAAGTACCTTCAAGCTGCTGCTTCTAATTTTGTCGTCTGGCTTAGGATAAGCGGCAACAGTTGCCAAGAAATCCACTGAAACCGACCCGCATCCCACCTGCACACATAAAGCTCCATCTCGCGGCAAACGGAATAGAAGTAAACAAACTAAGCAGAAAGCGTAAAGATAGAGAGACAGAAAGAGCGGGACGTACAACAATGGAGGTTTGAGGAAGGGGATCGGAGGACATCTTGATCCTGAATTTTTTGCCGAGAGACCTCGTTGACTGTGGGAATAATAATTATGAAAAACGAAACAGACTGAATAAATTTAATACAAAAACTCCAACTTTAAAGCTGTAAATTATTGAAGATTTACAAAGGGAGGGAGGGGGCTCACATTATGGAAACTGTGACGTAGGAGACCTAGGCAACCTTGTGCTTGAAGGTTTAGGTTGGGCGCGAATGTGAGGCTAGAACAAGAAAGAGAAGAAGAGAGAGAAGGGCTAAGCGAGTAGTTCAAAAGAGCAGCATTGCATAGAGTGGAGAGGTTCGACATGTTCGCTGGCGTCTGGGTGTGTGGCTGGCGCCAGATTGAACTGCTTTTTGTTTTTTAAAGTGGATAAAACCATAAAAGTGATACTTTAGAGCGGAATTTTTTTGGCCAAAAAAAAAAAAAGATGCTTTAGAGCGGAAAACTATTGCACATTTCATTATAGATTTGATAATTCACGTATACTTTTTATTAAGAAAACTGTAGCTTGGGATTTTAATTTTATATATCTTGATATATGCCACAAGCATTGGGATTTATTGGCAGTGAGGCGAAGAGCTATTATTTTAGTGCAATAAAATTTACACTCAATTTAATTTAATAAATTTTGCAGTCTTCCTTCCCTTTCTTTTTAATTTTTGTTGTTATTTTAAAATTTCGAGATAACGTTGATTATTGGTCTTTCAATTATGCTTTTATCTTCACTAATTTTAAAAGTTTAAGGCAACATTAATAGTAAAATAAATTCCAAGCATATGAACATGCCTGATGACTTATTGGCTCATTTTGTTCAATAATTTTAGTTAGGCGCGGATCTTCTTGCCGCGATAAAATAATTATCCATTCATCTAGTATAGCAAATGATGCATCAGGTTGGCAACAATATTGGGAGCCAAAACTTCAGTTGCATCTAGTTTTCAAATGAAGATTCCAATTTTAAGAGTTAATATTCTTTCTTATGTACGGAGAAATTTATTTTTTACCCACTGAATGGGAGACCCTATTGCATCTACATCTTTCTTGACATTACCACACCTCAGAAATCAAATTTTAACTATGGATTACATCGGTTGGATGCTGAAGCCTTGTTGCTTGCATACAATTCTGACGTCGTCGCCGATAGGATCTCTATAGTCAAAAGGACGCAAGGCATGGGTCGCCGCGATAAGGAAGACCACTTCGAGCTCCCAAGGCCTTACATTTTGCAGCTGCCTGTGCTTGGAGCAAAACAAGAGAACAAGTTCCAATTACCCAATAATTTGCATGTTTATTCTTTTCTCAAGAAACTCGTCACTTTTTCTTTGTTTTTTGGGGTGGGGGGTCTTTGTTCATGATTAGTTGGATTATCTTACCACGCAAGAAGCAAATGGCAACATTTTCTCCGGTGAAAAGTTGTTACAGATTGCTGCAAAACCAACAAGGTGGTTAATCAATAAATTGATCAAACAAATCATTGAGAAAAAGGTGGTCCGCAAGTTTCCAAGTCATAAAGATCAGAAATGGAATTGTAGTTACTGATGACTAAACCCTGCCAGATCGATAAGTTTGCCTTAAGAGGTTGTTTGCGTATACAGTTGATGCCAAAGTCAATTCAAATGATATTAAAATATAATTTAAGTTCCCCTGTAAAAGTAAAAGGCATGATGATAATGACATGAGAAGATAGGTCGCACATACCGTACATAACAGCTCCAACGAATGCATCCCCAGCACCAGTTGTATCAATGAGCTTTGACGGAGGAATTTTCTCGGCTGTGCCAACATATAACCTCCCACACACACTTCCGATCCCTTCTGCTCTAAATTTTGTCACAGACTGCGATGATTAAGGGGGGAAATGAATTTAAGTGAAATAGTTAATAATTCTACCCTTTCAATCATCATTTCACACACATCAGGGTTCACTTCAGCATTATCACAACAGGAAAGAAGATATCTTCATGTTTCAATAGTTATTACCGATGCTATGCAGGTTGGCCTGGCGATGCCGTCCTCCTTTTGCCTTGCTAAGGATTCGAGGGAGCTGTCTACATCCTTTTCTTCTATCTGCCGACCGTCTGCCAGAGAGTACATTGTAACTTACCCTTTAAAAGACAATGAAATACAGGAAAGCAGGATGTCCACAAGAAGTATGTTCACCATCCACGCATTGCTCCAGCATTATGGAGCCATTTCCCCCCAAAGTTGCAATCACAAATTTGAGATTTGGCAGTTTCAACAGAATTGAAATCAGTGCTCTTGGAATGGAAGCCGCCTTAGTCCAGGCCTGTCAAATTACAAAACTACAGTTCTCAAGGAGCAGTATGAATGTTTATCAGGCACGCCAACAAATTATCCCAAAAGAATGCAGTTCGGTCACAGATGAAAGGGGACTGCCCAACTTTATAGAAACATTATAGAATATAAATACCAACAGTTGACAGCAACCCACAGGGAAAGTGAGAAAACGGAAAGCATAACTCCCCACCCCCAAATTTTCCACCTTAATGGATGCATAATACATTCACTCGAACTTAAAGATTGATAATTGCACATGTTCATGGCGCAGGACGAGGCTGCAATAAGTTTAGAGTCCATTCTTCTGGCTACAAGGCTAGGCCAGTGTTTTGAGTTTAAGGGGCAAATCCAAGGATCCCCTGATGATAAGTACGAAAATAGCAGTATCTACATGCCAGGAGTTACAGATCCAAGTTTCTCATGACATTGCAATTCATGCTCATACGAGTTACTTGCCTGTGGGAATCTTTCCGAGCATACAAGATAATCAGTCATAGTCAGGAGCTCATCTAATCCTTCCCTTGGTCTTTCGGCATCAACTAAGATAGATATATTCTTGCAAAATGCCTGCAGCCGTGTACACACACTACATCTCATCAGATGGTTCTCACAGTAATATTAATATTATGTCTTGTCACAATGAAAAGCCAACAAATCCTGACTAGAAAAGCACGAGTAACAAAGAACTAAAATTTGATATGTAGGATTTAACTCATCCATACGCCACAATGAAGTAACATTACTTCGAAGATTGAACAGGTTCAAAATTTTCTTCTTAAAATATGAGGCTTGTGCTTCCTTTCATTCAATCATTGCAATGGTGAGATGGTACTCTTCTTTTAGGATATTTAACATGACTCGACCGTGGGAATCATTAAATCTTGCAGTTCAATTACTATGGAATGACTTTCCATCAGCAAACTACCTATGCAATTACCTCTCGAGCAATGAACAGAGCAGTTTCATGCATCCTCCCATCAAAATAAACCAATTTTGCTCCATCCAGTGCAGATAATAAACTGTCTCTTGAAAGATCGTCCGGTATCATAGGAGGGTATCCTGCGGTGAATATGCACGTGCGTGTTCTCCTGAAGGTTCAAATTCCTATGATCAATTGACTTGCATTATACATTTCTAACAGCTGCATTTCATGTTTCAAGCAGTCATTCATTACAATTATCTAATTTAGGCATGGCAGCTTACATGGGAGGAATTCGTACGAGGAAAACATATCACATTAATAACTATCCTTCAATGTTATTCATTTTAACAGATTTAGATCAACTTTCATCCGTGAATCATGTCTTTATTCATGAGGACTATAACGCAAAACCTTGCGAATGTTATTAGATCTTAGTCTTGCATCTAAATCAACTTCAGTAACTCACATTTTCGACTTTTCATATCCAACATTCATCAAGAGCAATCATGACAAAATCAACACAGATTGCGCGAAAAAATCTTTTTTTTTTAGGGGAAAAAAAACATACGTATGGCTGTCGATGATGACATAGGTAAATGGTGAACATCCCCCCTTGGATACCTGAAAACACGAAAAAAGTCAACAGAGCACAATGGACATACCACGAAAATGGTGCCTGGATTACAGCTGTGGTTGCCTCGGCAAAATAGCGAAGTAGCAACTACGGAGTTAAGAAGTAAAATCTGGCTTTGACATGGGCATACCACGAAAAATGATGTATCCACTCCATCAGCTTCTAGCTCTTCTAAAACAGCTCTGCCCTGAAGATCATTTGCGATCTAGTGATTTTAAATTGCATCAGAACCAAGCGCAATTAACCGTCAGGAGGGATACAGTAATCCGATACCATACAAAATACAGAAGCAGCATGTTTAACAATACTGTAAAATTCGAAAAATAAACCTTAAAAATTCAATGCCAAAAAACCTTTGAAATGATTCTTGGCTTTAAGCCCAAACGTGCGGCACAAGTTAAAGCATTTCCCGCGTTTCCGCCGCCTTGAACCTATCAAACCAGAGAATTTAACATTGATCACATTTCCGAACGATCATGGTAGCGAGCAGACTAACGGGCTCGACTCTAGAAACATTTACCACAGAAATGATTTCAATTTAGAGAGCTGCGGCAAACAAAACCAAGGGAACCAAAGCCCAAATATGAATCGCGTGATTGAGTCACTACGTCATTTTTTTTTTTTTACATTAATTAAGAAAAGTAGACCATTGTTTCTTCCTTTCTCACAAAACAACCGAAGCGGATTTTCTCTTTGAATGAATGAGTAAACCAAAGTGGATTTTAAAAAAATAAAAAGGTTAAGGTGCAACCCGTAGTATTTTGCTGGCACATCATTCTAAAATATCTTGTACTATATCTAATATTTTAAAATATTTTTTTAATACGTCTAATATCATAAAGTATTTTTAGCTCCATTGAACACCTCCAAGTATTTTTTTTAAATAGGTTCAGTATCCAAAAATATTTTTTTTGTATATCTAACACTAAAGTAAAAAAATACTTGAAAATATTAGACGCATCTAAAAAAATGTTTCAAAATGCCAGATATACTATAAAATATTTCAGAACGTTAGATGTAATTAAGAAAATACTTAGAGGTGTTGGAACTCTCTTCTCTTGACCAGAAATTATATTGTATTATTTTTAGTTCAATTCTTTTTTTAATTAAGTATAAGTATCTTACGATAACTCAAATAAATATTTTTATAAAACATTCAATAATTGAAATCAAAATTATACTCACTAAAAAAATGATTTTATTGATAAATAGGTCTAACTAAGCAGATAAAAAGGTTAAAAAATTCTAATTAGGAAAAACTGATCATGAGTAAATCAAAATACATAGTAGAGAAATATGACTTTCAAATTATCATCTTTTTATATATGAATATATTTAAATTGAGTGATTGATAAATAAAAATCAGTTTAAGAAAAGTATCTAATGTAACATTCAGGTTTATAAAAAGATATTTTAATTAACATATCAATTAAAAATAAAATACGCAATTGAAAAGTTAAAATATAATAGAATTTCAACAGAACATGTCTTATGCGCCCAGTGCAAACTTCAATTATTTCGTTGACCAAAAGATACAATTATTTCTAAGCAGTTTGATTGGTTAAAAAGAAAACTAGTGCAAACCTTCATGTTCGTGCTTCTGATATTGTCGTCAGGCTTAGGAAAACCCGCCACTACTGCCAAGAAATCCACGGCAGCACCGCCAAATCCCACCTGAAAATAGGCCTCCGTTTCCGTGAGTCTTAGTCTAGCTACACGCCAACGAAAGCGTGTTTTACCAACAGGAAGGCGAAAATGACAATGAGAAAGGAAGAATAGGTAGGCCGGAGGCGGTAGGGATAACGAGAGAGAGAACTCACTATGAGAGGACCTTTAGGGAAAGGAACAGCGGAATCGGAAGACATTTTGACTCTAAAGTTTCTGCCAAAATAATCAATCATCTGAATTTCATACAAGCCGTTGATCGCAGGAAGTTGGGCAAAAAAAAAAAAAGCTAGAGAAAGAAACAAATATTCGAATTGACAGGAAGGCAAATGAAAACGGAAATGGAGGAGCGAACAATGATTATCTGAGTAGCAGCGCCAGTCCGATTTTCAGATCAACATGGAATCGGAGTTAAATCTCTAAAATTACCGCACATCACATCCAAAAGTACCAAACCTTTTTATGACAAAGAAGAACGGTCCTGAACCAAGGTAATGGACTGAATCGAGCAAGTAGTTTTTTTCGTCGGCAAGGATAGGCAACAGCAACGAGAACGAGAGAAATAGCTATCCAAAAATCTCTTGCATGGGCGGGCAGGGATAGAAGAGCTCCGCGTACAGTGCTTGGTCTCGCCCGTAATTATTCTGTTAATCATTGTGCTGTGGTAGTTGACTCGTCAAGTTCAATTTTGCCCTCCAGGGACGTCAGATTTTTTTTCCTCATGCTTATCTTCATTTAACTATGGAATCATTTTAAACTATATTTTATTTAATTTAAATCATATGAAAATTAAATTTATTGCTAAGGACTGAATTCAATTTAAAGTTTAAATTAATTAAATTCAATGCAAAATCATGGCATTACATCACAATTAGAATACAACATAAAATTCAAAATTAGAAAGTCTTGGGAAAGGATCGACTAAGCTATTAAAAAGTGAAATAGGAAGAAATTGAAGGTGAAGGGAATTCCGCCATTTTCACGGATTTGGAGGACAGCAATCCGAAGACATACCGAATGAGAAGTTCGACGTGAAGGATGGGTCTTGACCCAGTCATATAAATTACCCTGACAAAGTGGACACAGAATAAGACGTGTGACCCCATACCAACCTGTTGAATTTTGGCAATACCGTCACAAGAATCTTTCAGAACCGTGTACACACGTTTCGCGAAAGCAATGGTATGTAGGCGTATATCATCAATATATACTGAACGGTCTGAGGGTAGAATACACGGTCTGAAGGCTCATTCTAAAATGGTTATTTTTAAAAATCTCGTGAGCGAAAATAATGATGATATCGTGAGTTATATTCTTGGAAAAATGTCTCAGAAAGAGATATAATCACTAAAAAGAATTGCATAACAAATGGCATTTTCTTTTATATAAGAGATGACAACTGGTCCTCTTTATTCCTCAGGATCTTGTAATTATTTTCCCTGTGTTTTTTTACTTGAGTGCCGAAAAAAGGATTAAAGATGCGCCGTGGCAGAAGATTAGGATTGATCTTCAAAGAGGTTCATTTAATTTTTTGACATACATAAACGCATGCTGGAACCAAATATAATTTGAGGGCATTTACATTACATCGCTTAAGTTACATTTCAATTCATCATTGAGTAATGAATCAGTGTTTCAAAATTAGAAGTCAATATTTTGTCTCTCCCCAATGTTAACATGAAAAACGCAGGAATTTGAGACGCCTAAACTATATCAGTCACCCAATCAATGGCTCATATCCTTGTAGAACTGTACATTTACAGAAACAACCGAGAAACCTCAATTCTTAAACCCAGTAACCATCGTTTGAACCACGCTTGGAAGGAAGTCCCCCATGTTCACTCCGACTTCCGGTAAATCTATACAAAGATAGCTTGCTTCGGACTGATCTCAAGGGCCCCGATCTGTTCCCATGCCTAATCGGTGAAGATATCTCGTCTCCCAATAAGCTTGAAGTTGAAAACGGTCTGTTTTCCATTTCTTCAAGTGGACCAGAACTGTATTCCATCGTGATGAAAGAAGATGCTTGGCCGTAAGTTAACCTTGGGGTCACCCCTCCCGCATTCCACCAACTGCCTTCTGAATGAGCAAGATCGGCTCTAATGTCAGACTCCTGAGCAGAAGACTCCTTGTGACTACAGCAATCCCCGCAAGTCTCGTCTGTGTCATTGTATATCAATTTCAGAGCCTGCACAACTTCACCCATAAAAGGTCTCTGAGTGACCTCAGGGTGGACACACATGGAGGCAATGGCGGCCACCTTTGCTATGTCATCAAAATCATAACTTCCAGCTAAAGATGGATCCACTAGCTGTTCCAAACCTTCCCTACTCGTCAAGAGTGGCCTTGCCCATGTCACTAGATTCTCCTGTCCAGGAGGTTGAGACATGTCCACCGGTTTTCTCCCAGTAAGAAGTTCAAGCAGGACTACCCCATAACTATAAACATCACTCTTAACGAGTAAATGGCCTGTCATTGCATATTCTGGGGCAACATACCTGCAAAATGAAACAGAATCAAACTAAAGGCGTGGAATTATGGCATGAGGAATGCAGGCTGCACCCAGACATGATTTTGTTGGACATGTCGGTCTGAGTCATAAATCATGCAGCAGAACAGTTTGTATTTGCTACCATAAATGAGAGAAAGAGCTTAAGAAAGAAAATAAATGATGGGTAGTATGTGCTATGAGCAGCAAGTCGAGCAAAATATTGAAACTACTAAGCAATATTGAGAGTGAACCTGCAGATTTAGAAAGTTAAACATGATCCAGGACCTGGTGAGTGTTTGATTTCACTTATTTTAAGTCATTTTGCGCTGGATGAGGTACACATATAAGAGTAGTTTTATCTCATAAAGCACAGAAGTGCTCATTTGCAGTGAAACTATATAGTAATGGCACCAAACAAGCTTTATAAAACCAAAATAGAAAAAATATACTGAAGAACTTTAAAAGAGTGAAGGATATTTAACATACCCAAAAGTTCCCATGACACGAGTAGAAATATGATGACTACCTTCAGTTGCTTCTCTTGCCAAGCCAAAATCAGAAACCTTGGGGGTGAAATCATCTTCTAGTAACACATTACTGGCTTTGAAATCTCGATGAATTACACGAGGATTAGAGTCCTCATGAAGATAGGCCAGCCCTCTTGCTGCTCCAAGAGCAATTTTCATCCTTGCTTCCCAATCAAGAGGTCCCTTCTTGTCAACGCCTGGTGAATACAATGGGAAGACCAAAGAGATTTAATTGAAAAGATGACACTAAAATGTAAACTAATCAGGTAGTGTATATCTATTACTGAGTTAGACATGTTACAGTGCAAATGTGACTCAACACTGCCATTGTGAACTAGCTCATACACCAAGCACCGTCTACGCCCTTCAATGCAGATACCAATGAGCTTCACAAGATTCCGGTGATGCAAACGGCTTAGCATCTCAACTTCTGCAATAAACTCACGGTCTCCATTCTGATTATCTTTCGTTAGCAACTTAACTGCAACTTCAGTTCCATCGTCCAAAATCCCACTATAAACACGGCCAAATCCCCCTTCTCCTAGTACTCTCTTTGAACTGAACTTATCTGTTGCTTTCTCAAGCTCAGAAAGTGAAAATGTTCTAACAGAGAGAACAGAAGTAGCCATGGTAGACATAAGGGACACTGATGTTGAGCTTGTAATGCTGCTTGACAACATAGACCCCATGCCTGAATTACAAACATTACTCTTTACACTTCGCTCAACTATGACGCAGTTGAAAATTTAATAAAAAAACCACAATACGATGAAGTTTCTATAACAATTAACAAGGATAAATACCACCAGTACACGCATCTCACTCATCAAAACAGATTAGTTCAAATGTCTTCATATCAATGATCACCAAAGATAGAAGAAGTCACGATTCTCTAATAGATTCTTTTTAAGCATGCTTAGTAGTTGTCACAACAGTCAAGAGCATGAATCTTGAGGCACACAGGTGTAAATTAGGGAACCTAATTAAAATGCATCACAAAACTAATGCCAATTAAAGAATGCAAACCTGCAAAGTCCAAACTTCAATGAATTACAAGGTTATAAAAGCACAAAGCTCTTATTAATTTACTTGCCCAAGAAAAGAACAATAAACAAACAATCATCTACTATAACGAGGACAGCATGCTTCAATATTGGAAATAAACTGTGAAAAGAGCCACCAACAAGTTCAGAATTAACTAATATTTTAGATGATGCCAAGTTGAGCACTGTTGACAATAAAATGCTTTTCAACATTTACTTCATTTCCTGTTTCAGCATATAAGTCAAAACGCCCAAAAAATTTGCAAATTTTACCAAATCGCTTGTTTATAGATGAAGTAAATGCAGGACCAACGGCACTTGATGGGTTCCTTATCTTCCTCCATTTCAACACGATGGAAAATGCTCCAATCAAAACCAACATGAGCACAAAGGCAGATAGAGCAATGATGAATATGGTTCTAAGATTCATTTTCTGGCTCTTGTTGACAAAGTTGGCAGTGATTGGAAGACCACCAGCACTCCCGCTAGGACCACTTCCAACATAGCTTCCATATGGTGGTGATGATGGGATCCCTGATATCAACTGCTTCAATTCTTAACTGACACCATGACAAAAGTGAAGTAAAGTAAGATGTAGATAGGAGAAACAATACAACTACCTGGATAACTAATGGACAGGACTGCATAATCACCAAAAAGGTTCTTATCTAGAGGAACTTTCTTATGCCAAAACCTCTCAAATATCAGAACCGCAGTGGTGTTGTCAAACTTCTCTCCCAATGGAACCAAGTTCATATCAACTACAGTTCTTCCCTGATTTTGACTGTCAGCACTTGCACCCATAATCTTCACCTGGCTCTGTTCCAAATATGTGCCTGATGCAACCTCAATCTCTAACTGATTCATTAAGGGGAAAATTGCATAAGGTGCGACATCCAAAACAAGTTTGACTTTCATGGGAAAGACACAGCCACAAGGTGAACCAAATGGGGTAGCAGTGAGCGGATCAATACATATTTGGTCACAACCTGCGAGAGACTTCATGTTAAATGAGTATATATACATTATATTAAGAGGAAAATGAAAATAGACTGCAAAAAATCATGCAATCCAAGCAGGTAAAGTCATTATCCGACAGCAATCAAAGCTTCAATTTTGCCACAAACATGAAAATTTAGGACCATTGCATTAGTTCAAACCATTACACTTACACCCTACCAAAAGTTAGAGAAGCAAGAAACACTTTTAAGCTGGCAATGGCAACTTAACATTAGGAAAGAAATATGATTTAAAATGAATTCATTTGTATTTCCACACTTTTTTTATATGAAGAATCAAAATTTAAATATAAAACTTTCTTCAACATGAGTCTGGTTTTTACTTGATGTCAATTTGTCTCCTTATCACCATAACTAGCGAACATTATAAGCTTAAAAACAGAGTCTGTTGAGAAGGTAGTAAAATCATAAAGTTCATTTCATTTGGTTACAAAGAATAAAAACCATCATCTCTGAGAC